TTTGTCGTTAAAATGACATTAGTTATCACGTGTATTATCTAGAACAATATATCATTTGACAATATCATGTTCCTTATATGATTTAGGTGTCGTATATATATATTGAGACAGATATGTATAAACAGATTGCTATCTACGAATATTTTTCATAAATCTAAGTTCTAACTAAGCAAATTTTAAATATATCTAATTTCTTTTATTAAATATATAATCGCGGATTCGAAAAGCTTAGCTGTATAGTATTAATAATGTGATGTGCTTTTCAATCGATTGCTTATCTTCTGCTTTAAAATAAGAACAATATTTGCTCTTTTCTATGTAGCAGGAGAGTAATATGTGGCAGGAGTGTATTTCCAAAAGGTTTTCATTCCTTCACTGTTTTTAGTAGCAGCGTGAAGCAACCAAAGGACATCAACAAGATAATTGTTTAATAACAAACCATATTAACCGATATATGACCTGCAGTGAATAACAGTTAACTTAAAAGAGCAAATATAATCGACCTACCTAACCAGCGTCATTTCTAGTAGAGTGGTTGATATTGTAAAAGTAATGGCAGTGATGAAATTGTTAACAACGCTGGCATCCTTGAGGAAGAGGTGTAAATAAAAGATTAAATTATGCACGCCAGCCAAGGCTATCGACGACAGATGTTAAATTTGAGTTCAGAAGTGTTTCATTTTTTATGCTCCTTGAAATCGATTCCTCTAGTCTTAAATAAACTGTCAGTCGACATATTTATATTGCAAAGAGGTTTACAAGCACCTACAGCAACCGGTTGCGGTTGCCATTCTTGACCGGATTATTTTTCAACAATGAGAATTAATTAAAATGTCTACTCATTAAGGAAACACGAACAATCCATTTGTATAATTACTTGCAGTGTTAGGAACAAATGCGAATAATATTGACGGCACCTCTTTCAAAATACCAGACTAAAATTTGTGATTCAACATAATTTTTTGTACGTAAACTGTTATATTGAATAATAAATATGATTGATTTGACACTGTTATTTATAGAGGCTTATTATATAATGTAAGGTATTGGCGTGGGTACCTGGTTTCAAAACGTGTAACAGATATTGGGACATACGTTTTTTATCAGATAACTTCAGTATTTATTAGTTCGGCTTAAACAGCTTAATTTTTTGTATTTTGTTGCCTTAACTTTTATTGTAGTACACTTACGAGACAAATACTTATCTGCAACGATGTGGAATTCCAAAACAGACTTTCCTTTTCTGTGTAAATAACACGAAAATGTAATTGGAATTTGTAAAGATAATATGTTTAAAAAATCGCGGTTGGTAAAATAAGATCTAGATCTAATTTGTCACTTCATTTCTTTTAGTGGAAATAATTTGTGAAATGCTTGTTATCGTAAATTCTGGTGATTAGCGAAATATGTAAGCAACTCATTGAAAAGTCCACTCAAGCCTAAACTTGACCACACTGGGAAGTTAAGATCAACCGGTACTAGAAAATTAGAACGAAAAACATGATAATTGACTGTTATTGCGAGAAATTACGGAATTACAAATATTTTCATGGGAACAGAACTGAGGTGATGACTGGAACTGAGCTCCGCATTTTTATTTATTTACGTAATAAATAGAGTTTTGGTACTAAACAATGGATTCATTCTACACATAATTTTTTGTATTTTTTTATTCTATTAATTAAATACATGGGTGGCCAAATGAAAACGAAACAGAGCCATTTTCAGGAACTGCGTCAAGATTGTAGAAAAACGCTCAGACCCGTCGATTTTAGATTAAAGGGGGACATTCTTTGCTGGTATTTTTGACTCCGCCGCTTATAAAATTTAAAGTCTGTTGTAAAGAGAATTGTAAGAGCTTTCAAAAGAAATATTACTCAACCCCCAATGCCATTTACTCGTAAATATTTTGGGGTGGTGCTTAACCTTGCTTGGGGGTAAAAAATACCAGCAAAGAATAATCTAAAATCGACGGGTGTGAGCGTTTTTCTACAATCTTGACGCGGTTCCTGAAAATGGCTCTGTTTCGATTTCATTTGGCCACCCTATAGCATCTGCTTAATATTCCAAACAGTATGCCATTAAGTAAAAATAAATAAGGCTTTCTAACCTTCTGAAAAGCTGTATCGGGTAACCTAGAAGCAACTCATTAAAATTCTCACACAGCGAAACGTCAACATCGTGTTCATATGCATTTCATGCTTAGCAGCCGCAAATAATACATTATGAGTCACTGTATTTATTTAACACTAACTTTAAGAAGAATAAACTAAAGAATTGCTTTAACCTTATTTCTCGTGTGTGTGTATACGGCCTGAAAAAAGTAATTACATGACATTTTCCGCCATTTGACCACGGACATATCGCATCTCCAATAGCAAAAATCTTCATCAAAAGACCAGTCGACAGTTTTGGTAAACATATCTGTCATTAGTTCCTACATTAACATTTTTTAAATGGCCTGTAAAGTACCGTATATTTTAAAATTAATTCCTAACGAGGATATGTTAATATTTCTCATGTAATTTTTTTCAGATGATCCTGACGTGAACATCTCGCAAAATGGTTAAACGGGTAGCCAAAAATCACTACATAGCCTCGCCCAGGCACAACGAATCTCCCACTCCTGTCCACGTGACCAGAAGTGCCGCATATTCGGACGGTGAAGAGAGCCAAAGGGCACCTTCAGAGAGGACCCTGTCAGAATACACTTCTGTGGTAAGGTAGCCTTAGGTTAAAAAAAATTGGACCATATATACGTGAATTTTTACACTTCGCCAACGTTTGGACATGAAGCCTTCCTCAGGGCTACAATAAGAATTTCTATAATAAAATTATATCGAGAATAATTACTAAAAAAGTTTTGTATTGAATGTAACCAGATCTTGGCAAATCCATATTTAAGTATAATCCCTGTCCAGTTACGTTTATGCTCTGTTGGGAATTTATGCGGAATGACATGTCCTGGGAAATTTTTTTTATAAAGAGCAGAAATAATTAGTAAAAACGTGTGAAATTAAGACAAATCATAATTTTACGGGTTTCAACAGCCTGCCTATATTTTTTTTATTTAACTATTTGCAAAAAGCTAATAAATCGGTTAACGGGTAAGAGTGGCATTTAATTTAGCGTCAAACCACAGATCTTTGTCTTTGCGGGCGTTCTTAGACACGTTGGTCGAGATGCATCGTTATTTAATACTAATTTTACTTCGAACTAAACGAAAGATCACGTATGTTGGAAATATTTCAAACAGGTACTTGTGGTTGCGCAGATAATGTAACTACTATTGTTATTTACAGAATTCTTGGTATTTATACGCGTAAGAATCTGACAAAATTTAAGTATTAACAATAGAATAAATTTACAATGGAAAGGAAGTTGTAAGATAGTTTCTCGTTAAAACAAACTAAACAGCAAGACTAACAATTTCTGAAACTATTATTAAAGACTCTACAACCCTTCAACGACTTAAAAAAGCGAAATATGGTTACTGGAAGGGGACTTGTTTTGGGGGGAACACTCGAATCGATGTATTCAACGTCAAATAACGGAAAAGGGATTAATTTTACGTGTACAACGCTACTGGAGTTTCTTGTAGTACTCAAAAAGACCTTCAAAATGAGCACTTAAAAAAGTTAATTAGAGCAAAATTGAAGGAGTTATCGTCAAAAACAAATGGGTTGCTCATATTTTTTAAGGAAAAATGAGCAGTAAACGCTGTACCATTTCCATCAGAATTCAAATTAATCGTAGACCCTTTACAGTTACTTTTGTTTTAGTGTTTTTCATACGATCCTGAAGTTAGACCGGTTTAGAATGCGTATTTTTTGTATAACGTACTGTAAAAGTTGAAAACGTATTTTTCATTATTCAAAAAAAATATATTTAAATATTTAAAATGCTTTTTTGTAGGAGTTATGCTAAAAATCAAATCAATTCATAAGCAATGAGGGAATTTTTATTGTAAATAATTGCACAGTTAAAGCATTCCAAGCTTTTAAAAAGTAATTTTTTATCAATGGTGGTTTTTAGGGGTTGAAAGGGAAAAATTCTTTTATAAGCTGTAAGGTAACTTTTATTTTAAATAATTGCACGATTTAATCATTCCAAACCATTAAAAAGTAATTTTTTATCATTATTTTTTGCATAGGGGTAGTTTTTAAGGGTTAAATAAAGGGTCAAAAAGATCAAATATATCATAAAACATGTTCCAGAACATGGAACATTATTTAATCTTTGTGCTTGAACAAGATTTTTATTAATAAAATGCATAAAACTTTATTTTTGCAATTTTTTTCACTTAGGGGTAGTTTTTACCCCTAAAAAACAAAAAGCGTCAATCGGGCTTATGTCACTTTTGAACTTGAGCCTAAGACGAGCCTTATTCTAAATTTTCATGCAAATCCATGCAGTTTCAAAGAATTCTGAGGTTACAGCTGATATTCAGCTTCAATTACTGTACTATATATGTTCTCTTGGATTATATCATCTTTGTTAGAGACGGGAAACAATTTCTAACGACCCTGAAGATGCCGTAAACCAGAGACAAAACGTTGACCTCCATTGACGTTAACAAAGCGAACTTTTGTTGACTTAGCTTCGTCAATTGGCTTCAATTCCGTGGCTTCCCTTCACCTAACATTTCCATTATGGGTAATAAACTAATGTATAGGAGTTACACACGGATTTTTAGAATGTAATTCTGTACAACCATGGCCTACAAATTATTTAATTTCGCCGCTTATGTCTAATAATCCACGGCAGTCAAACGACAGTTGCAGACTCTATAAAAGTGTATGTGTGGTGTATGTACCGAAAGTTATATCAAAATATTTTACTTTAGCATTATCTAGTCAAGAGAACGGGGTCCAAATATCATAAACAGATAACCAAAACGAGGAATGAAAGGAATGCAGCATAGGATAAGATATAAGATCTGTATCAATACATAGTTTACCTTTATTTACTTGCGGCTCGTATCGCGACTGAACGTATTACTTATAAATGTACTTCTTTCATTGAAATTGGTGTGGAAAACAGTTTGGTGCATAAATAAAAATGTCTGCGAGGGCGTACAACCCCCAGTGGGATTTAGAATCCATCGTGACAGTAACAGTCACCCAAATACTGTGTAGTGAAAAGTATGTGAACCTTATAGCCGAGAAAATTCGTAGCAAAATCCAGCAGCAATTGGACGTGAGGTTAGAAGAGCGGAATTCGCTTTTACTAAACAGGATGAAGTACATAGAAGAAAGGTTGGAACGTAGCGAAAGACTAAACAGGAAGAAAAATATTAGTTTTGTGAAACAGAATAATGATAGTGTGGACTCGAAAGACACTTTAAACCGTATTGACTTCAGCCTTGAAAGAGATGTCATTAGAGACTACTACGGTGCTGAAACGGTAAGGAACAAATCTAATAAAACTCAAAAGAGTAGAAGTGTGTTATTTCTTACTGAAAACATCAACCGGATGCGGCTCTTTTGAAAAGATCACGATATTATCCAACTTCCATTTTTGACAAGTCATCTCGTGACTTTTTCGCATCTTTGCTTTCGCCGAATGAAACATTTCTGGCCTTAAATATTATCTTTAATAACAGTAATTGATCAGAGTTAGATAAATATAAATACTGGTTTCTATAACAGGAAATTACGTTGCACAACTCTCTAAAAGTCTTATCTTTCTCAATAGGTATCGCCATAATGTATCTAAAAGTATTTTGTTATTTTAAAAATGGTGTTTCAAAGGAAATCATTGCAGCTTAAATTCTTAACATTTACTGGAATTCGTGTCCAAAAAATACCGTTCCAAAAGTTCAAAGATCTTTATCTAAACATGTAGCCAACTTTTAGACAGTGGCGTACTATAATTTACTTAAGTGAGAACAAAGGGGGAAATTTTTAATCCGCTTCAGCCACATAAAAGAAAAAGAACAAAGTAAAATATCCGCACGATTTTTAAAGGCAGGGCTTAACAAACAAAGGATAATATGGAAAGTACATTGATTAGAGGAATTTGTGATTGTAAAAGTATTTAGATAAGACGGAGTCAATATCATTCATATTGATCACGCTATGTTTTAAACAAGAAAAAAATTATGAATATAAAAATAATAAGTTTATTAAAAATTTGGAGTTAACTTTTGATAAAGCAATAATTTGAATCAATGATTGGTACCTAAATTTGAACATTTTCAAAGAAATTAATGGAAAAAGCTGCACAAAATGGAAAATCATTTAACAATGTAACACTAGAAAAGTTGGAAAAATATTCTGTACATACGGAAAGTCTATGCAATTTTTGCCACGTCGCGTCGCTCGAAAACTTGTGATTACACTGGAATGCCACGTATATACAAATTTCGGGTAATGACAGGACAGTGACATCTCCAGAGCAATTATTAGATTATTGTAAATATGCAGGTAGATAATTAAGGGAAAAGTATTTATGATAAAACTAATCTGGCAATCCAGTAGGTTTTAAAATTTGGTATGTAGGATTGTTGAAATAAGCAATTTCATTCCATTTTATGACTGGGGTTATTAAGAAAAAATGTTATCTTCGTTAACTGAAAAAAAAACAATCATGTTTAATCCGCTATTATTATTTTTGTTTCCTAGTTGGTAATAATGTTTGTAACCATTTATATATGATCATAGAGTAGATAATTTATTGAAGCACGGAAGCAACTTTGTTGCACTGTTTCAAAAAATTGTTTAATTGAAAAATTAGTCACACAGCTCAAGAGAATTATTATTTGTTATACTTATTCCTTATTTTTCCAAAATAACCACGAGTCGCTTATGAAACTATAAATACCAATTACGGTACTTACGAAGACATCATTAGATTGAAGCAAATGGCTGATAGTTATTACATACACTCCTCCAAAGTAGACCATTTCCTGAACGAAATGGAAATAAATGACGTTGATTTGAAATCGCAGTTACCAACTGCATTTACCTCAGCAGTAATGGATTTAATAAGTAAATCTCTAGGTTACCCGGAGCTTTAACGAATCCATGTCAGAAATACGGTGACATAACGATGATTATTGCCTTGATTAAACTTTGCGCCTTTTCAAACTACAGGGGGCAAAGTTTAAAGAAACAGCGAATTCACTTGATTCCCATTTTAGACTAGCGCGGATCTGTCGAAATATCCCTCTTCTTGGATGTAAGAGGGGACAAACTAATTTTGGAATACCTTCAGTTCAACTCACATAATAAAAGTGTAGATCCCTAGATCTGGATGAGGTCCATTTTCAAAATTACAAAAATGTTTAAAAAATTTTAAAAAATACCTATTTTATCAGAGTTTTTTACTTATATCTTGGAACCTATGCATTTTGGAAGAATACTGAAGAGAAAAAATCGTTTTAGAATTAAATTTTGCACAATATACTGTAATCTAAAAATATTTCAATATATTGCCGATGTGGCAAAATAAAAATAATTGATGAAAAAAAGGCAAAATAATCAAGTTCCTTGGATAATTTTTTTTTTAAATATTTTAGTTACTCCGAGGGCATTCTAATTTTGGTAAAAATGTTGCACAGCCTCAAATAAAGCATGTAGATACTTGAAAATTTTTTCACATATAAAAGACCATCGATAATAAATTTAAACATTTTTAACTTACAGTATATTGTGCAAAATTCAATTCTAAAACTTTTTTCCTCTGCAATATTCTTCCAAAATGCATAGGTTCGAAGATATAAGTAAAAAACTCTAAAACTTTAAATTTTTTAAACATTTTTGCAATTATGAAAATGTTCCGGACCTCTCCCAGATCTAGGGATCTACACTTTTATTATGTGAGTTGCACTGAAGGCAATCCAGAAAAAAATTTCTTGCCCCCTCTCACATTCACCTCAAAACAGATCCGCCCTGGCCCATTTGGACTAGTTAATGTCCCTGAGAAATTACTTTTATTTAAAGCGCTTTTTGACTATTGAGCTACTAACCATTTTTGTTCGGAAAAGTCCGAATACCATAAGAAAGGCTCATATTTTCACCCAAAGACATTTTTGTAACCCCCCCTGTATATAATTGTCTGTACAGTTATTTTCATGTCACTATTTTATTTCTTCCAGCCATATACGATAGTAAACGAACGAAATGGTCGAAAATACGACGGTACCCACCAAAAAGGCAGCAGTTATCAAAACGGTCATCACAGTTCACCGAGGGCACCGTCTGCTATGAGCAGAGGAAGCGGATATGACACGAATGGATCTGATATTTACGTCACCAGTGGTGCCTATAAAGCACCTTCAGAATACAGGTAACACATAATTTGTTTTTACGATATGAAAAATGTCTCTTAAATGTATACTAATCTGGCTTCATATACCTAAAGAAAGTTTACGTCTATTACTCTACTTTTTTATCATAGTATTTGCATAACCCAGCCAAGCTGCTTATTAAAATCTTAAATAGTAATTAATTCTCACGAGTCTAAGCGCAGGCACGCTATTTTTATAATTTAACTCGATAATATTAACCATTTACTTCCACGAGATAACAATTTACAAACGATTTAATTGCGGCTAATTTGCATAATGCATTTTCTTGAAGACGCAAGTATATTAAAATTTAATAGCACGCTTTTACTCCTCTTGTATTGTAATGTGTCAATCTGTTATGAATAAATTTTCTGATTTATGTGAGAAAAACAGTTTAATTACTCTTATTATTTTTGTTTCATAAGATTTCATATCCGTTGCACAAAACAATTGTCTTTGTGTTTCACGATGTTCCACGTTTTCTCTCGTTTTCTCTAGCGTAGATTTTTATATTAACAACTTTTGTCTGCATGACAAATACTGGTATAAATATTAACCCACTGCATCCTGTTTCATAGAATTTGTTAACTTTAAAAACATTTTTGGCGTGTTATGTCACTGCTTCCCGCGTGTTATGTCACTGCTTCCCAAAAATAATTCGACGTCAAAATCTGTGATTACTGAGATATTTTATATATCTGTTAACGTTTGAAGTACCTAATAACGTGAATGTGAACAGGAATTTCATTCCTATTTAATCGCAATACGACACAACTTTTAGTACAAAAATGTAATGATGTCATTAAATAATCAAGAAATTGGAATTTGATTGGAAGTTTTTCATTTTATAGTTTGGAATTTATCATTATAGTTAGTCAAATATCTGAAAAATTTTATGAACCGTACTTTTTAATGTTAAGGATCTTTTCAGATTATTAATAGAAAAACAAGTTGTAAATAATTTAAACCCAAGTTTAGGATAAGCCATCAAAAGACAATACAATGAAATATCAAAATATTGGCAAAACAGCAACAATTTGAAGTAATTTATAAATGTGGATCTTTTTAGTAATGACGTCACATACGCTAAATAATAGGCAACCCCATAAGTAGTTACATTGTCATGAAGAATTTCTCAATATTTTAATTAGATCGATTTTCGACCTTATGTACTTTGGACATAAGTGCCAAAAAAATGGCTTCTTTGTCATGATCTTAAATATCGCCTTATCCTGGCAATATTAATAGTATATTAAACAAGGTTTGAAAACGCCTCTTTGCACACGAGCGAGACATAATAAAATTTCCAGGGTCGTATTTAAAAAAATGAAGTTGATGATGGTCCTGGAGAGACGAAACGTTACATATAAAATCGATTATGCCATTCGATAGAGAACAAAAAGTGGTCATGAGAAAGTGTTCTTTTTTCAATATCACCTCAAACAAGACTGAAATGAAACAAAAACGGATTTCCAAAATTTCGTATTTTTTCAAATATTTCGAATACTAATCATGTTAGCCTTGATTTTTTAGAGGCATAATGTTGGTCCCCTGATTACGCAACTATTTCAACTATGACAATTTGTTGCGGGTTGCCTAAATATGTGACGTCACACTAAAAGAGACTATTGTGACCACTATGAATGATCTTATTAGTTGTTTTATATGACATTGCAAGAGTAATTGAAGATGAACGGGACTGTAGTCCTCAGAGTAGTTATTTCCCACAAAGCGACTATTCATAACACCTAGATTAGTACATAGGTCGCTCTCAACCAGCAGATACAAAGATTTCCTTTGCGCAAGTAGTCGGTGAATAGCAGTAACGTTTAAGATGTGACTACTTCGTAGGTTATATCTCACCCACACTCAAAACTTGCTTGTTCTTTTTGTCTACTTTTACTGGCAACATTTTCTCTCTCCACATCTTTATTGTTTATTACTCATACTTTAAAATTTATTCATTTTTTTTCAGTCGAAGTTCGCGAGCTCGTGCTCCTAGTCACTATTCGTACAGGAGCGGCGTGGCGCCATCTGTAGCCAGTACGGCGAAGTCAAGGTCGTCTCGAAAAGCAGGGATGACCGTGGAAGCAATGGCGACTCCAAATCCGTTCTGTCCCAACATCAAAGGCATGTGTTGCTTGATGTTGCTGTTGAATTTAGGAATAATTCTCGTTACATTGGGATTCGTCATCGTCATCCAGTTTTACGAGCCTGTCTATGTGTGGTAAGTAGAAAAATGAACAGCGGGTATATCTAAAAGTCCAAAGGAAACAGTTGGAAGCATAGAAGTTTTTTTATATATTCAATTAGCGGAGAAATATGTAGCAATCGTTTTTTTTTTAATTATTCACTTTCTAGACCAGACATACATACCTATCAGTATGGTTTAAGTACATTGCAAATTAATCAGACCTTAATGTTAACTGATTAAATGTCCCAATACTGATATCTAATCTTTTAATTTATCTGCTGTCTTTATTAAAAAAGAATGCGATCTTAATACCTATAGAATTCTTAAAACAATATCAATTTATCGATGATGAATTACCAAATAATTTCCAGTTCAGTTTGTCTGCAGATAAATGAAATGGAAAGTGCAAACTGTCCGAACTAATAAATGAATTTCATTCTTAGCTGCTTCCTGTTTTATTTGGAGATGTACAAAATACACATCTCCTTTTGTATTTCTTCTCAAAAAGACAGCGATATGTCCCGAAAGTCTAAGTACCTTTTCAAAACACTAACAAATCTCTTTCCGTCTTTACAGGATCCTAGGGATAGTCTTCCTAATCTTCGGTTTCCTAACCCTGATAGGCAGCTTGATATACTGCGTGATAATATGCAAAGACGTGAAGAATCCGAGAGAGGTGAACCCCGAGGATATGTACTGGACCCACCACTGGCAGAAGAACATCGGCTCTTCGGAAATTCACTATAAGGCCGGTGAAAAGTACGCTGATGATCGGTACAGTGACCGATACTCCGTCGGCAAGCTATCTGGGAAATATTCCGACAGAAACGCGAGATACTGAGATGGCGCTACTTTGAGTAACTTATTTTATGCGCTGTTCAAGAGAAAACTAACATGTAGGATTAATTTTTATGGAATAACGACGTATGCAAAGGAAATAAAAGGACAAGTAGTCCTTTTTGTTGTGGGAGAATTTGTTTTTGTCACTGAAACCTACTATTGAATACAGGAGAGTTGTAGTGGACCAAGGATTGATTTTTTAGTCTTCAAATGGTGAAGTTTGATGATAAAAATGACTCGAATATGGGTGAGAAGAACACAAAAAGCTGTATTAAAAGGAGCAAAGTTCTAAATTCAGTATCCTTTCCATCAGTTAACCAATTAATAAAACTAATTCTAGTTGTAAATAAAATGTTTGTAAATGGCTAATACCTGCTTTTTGGAACTTGATGTATGTGATATTTTGTACGTATTGGGTTGGAAAACCCCAAGATTCATATTTTATTTTCCTAAATATTAAACGTTGTTTTATAAATAATTTTATAATTAATTATATAAAAATGTAAATATTTCTAAAATATTAAATTATTTTGTAAAGTATTTGTGTATTATTTAGCTAGAGAAAAACGTGTAAAGTTGAAATAAATTGACGTAAAGATCCAAAAAATAGTGGGAAGCCCTAAGGAAAGAACGAGACACTTTTGGGGAAGGTGGGGGAGAAAATTCGGGAGGAACAAAACTACCGTAAGGTGTAGAAGATTTATATTAAAAATAAAATTATGTATAATATAAAACAATAAGTGTACAAATCTCAGTATGTATAATTATAGTTTAAATACACATTGCATTTCATATCTCATAGACCAAGATAATCTTTTTTAGATGATTGCCTCATCGGTGTTAAGGGAACGTGGATAAGTTATCAATGTTTTCAATAAGCAATAGAAAATTATTAATTACATTCCAAGATAAGTACGCAAATATTGGAAATAGAATTTTTCCTCTTTTAATCACACCGTGAATCCGCATTTTGTGCACTTCTTCTTTCTCATGCAACAGCACAAAATTATACCACATGGGAAACAGACTATCGCCAACAACCAGCCCAAGCATGGGTACGTTCCAGTCCAACTGTTGTTACCGCATACTGGACATCCTGGCTTAGGCTGGACAACAACAACTCTTTCTGGAAATATGAAAAGTTATTGTAATTTCCAGTATTGGAAATCGTGCTTCTAGATTAGTAATATAGTCCAGTCAATCAAGCATTTTGGCTACAAATTTTTTCGGATGGAATGGATTGACGTGAAATTTGAACTGTAGCTAGGGAATAGCCCAAGAAATAAAAGTTATATAGTGCCGATGTGTGCTTTTACCCTAGGGGTGGATGCCACCCCTTCTGGAGGGTGGGAATTTTTTTATTAAAAATAACCTCACGATTGGATAGGGGGATGAATTCTAAGCAAAAAATGTTCTATAAAATTTTTTTGTATAGTCGATACTTTTTGAGTTATTTGCGCCTAAAAACGTTTGTTTTTAGCCCAAAAAATGCATGCTTTTGACCCATTTTTCGCGAATATCTCAAAAACTACAAGTTTTATCAAAAAAATGATCAGAAGCAAAAATGAAGGTAATTGAATAGCAATGAGATTGTTTTTTTTAATTTTTGTAGGTGGTATAGAACCCGAGTTGTGACTCCCAGAAGTTGAAGTCAATTTCGAAGATAAGATCGAAACGTTCAACATCCTGTGGCGGAAAAATTAAAGGTTGTTCGAGGAAAACTTATATAACACCTATTAAAGTTCTTCAAAAGACCTTTAATAGGTGTAAAACATTTTGTACAGTACATCCGTTTATAATGTATATAAAATTTTTTTATTTGATATTAATTTAATAAAAAAATATTAAGAATAAATTCAATAAAATTTAAAAAAAACTCATATAATTTTTACGACATAAGGGTTTTTTGGATGGCTAAAGGTGGTAATATATCATAGATCATTTGAAAACCAATAAAAGTTTATAATTCAACATATGCATACCATTAAAACATCTCAGGCTTTCAATAATATTTTTTTGTTTATTTTATTATAAGGGATGGTTTTTAAGGGTTGCAACTTTGTAACGAGTCGTAAGCTTTCTAACGAATAACAACAAAAGAAATGCAATACATTGTGAATGCACCAAAATAGTATTTTAAACTGTTAAAAACTTTGTTTCTATTTTTTTGGCCATGGAAGGGTAGTTTTTAAGGATTTTTAAGGGTTGAAAAGTAATTAAGTTTCATAAATTATATTAAAAAACATGAAAGGAACTTTACTCAACATATTTGAACATGAATTGAGTCTTCAAAATACGTAAATCCGTGATTTTCGCATTTTTTTCATAGAAGGGTAGTTTTCACCCCCAAATAGAAAAAAGCACACATCTAAACAATATAACTTTTGAAGCGGGGGGTCAGATGAGCTTGTACGCAAATTTTCAGGAAAATCCATGCTATCCGAAAAAAATGGGAGATTTTACCTTATATACCGAGAAGAGATTAGATATTAATTTCTTTTTAAATGTAGAGTAAATAAACAGATCAAAGACTATCTTATCAGATAGTTTAATCGCACATAGCTATGTACTTAATTTCTTAGTAATAACCTTGTAAACATCATATCTGCATTTATTGAAAAGCTTGAATGAATCAACTAACTAAAAAATTATTAAGAATTTCAAAATCAAAATACTAAGTATATAAAAATCTTTCCTTTTTTTTAATTTTTCAAGACGAAAATGAAATTTATTACACAAAACATTGTTCACCAAACTCAATTTAGACTGAATGCGCATTAATTATTACTATTAATTAGCGCATACAAATCTCAGTAACACATTGTTACAAACTAAATAGGTGCATAAACTGAGATTGAACTTAATGCAAAGAAACATTATTTATTCCAACAAGAAAGATGATATACAGAACTAGAACAGAGATAACATATTTATTAATAATTATTACGACTTCCTAAACAAAAATACAATATTAAAAAAAAAGGTATTAAAAAGGCATTGACTAGTCGCATAATAATTTTTAAGCCACTGATTTTTCAAAGATATGTTAAAAATAAAACAAAGACTTACCTGGCATTCTGTTTGCGATGTGTTAAACAAGTGTGAGCTTCATATGAACAAATAATCTCCTAAAGTTAAAACTAGATTAGATAAGATTATTATCTATATTAATTTGTAAATATTTAACAACACTATCAGGATACCTACTATGTAAAACCAATTCTATACTAAAATGAATAAAAATGTTGTATGCTACATCGTTTGTTAGACAATAATCCAATAAATTGGGAAAACCAAAGATACTTCTGTCATAAAAAAACCTTATTTATAATGAGACAGGAAACATTTGGTACATATTCTTAGATATTGATTATTACTCAGACAAATTCTAAAAACTTGAAAACTAGAACAATTTCATCTCAAAAGTTGAATGCACAAAACTGACGCATTAAAAAAATCACAATTGCTTCGATTCACAACATTTCATATATACAATGCGGTCCAATAAGTAATATAAAAACACAAAAGAATTTTAGGCTTCTCATTAAAAAATGGGAAGTGGTTGAAATATATGATACAAAAAGTTCTTTTCCTTTTCAAATTACTTAAATTTGCAGCCAAATCATAGCAAGATAAATTCGCTTCTTGTATACAAAGGTTTTAAGTAACTTTTTGTGCATTTTAATCTTCTTGCATTCATATAATATACCTATTAATTGTAGGTACTTACAGAACGTTAACAGATCGTTGGATATTCTTCTATAAAACTGTTACATGAATTTGTGACTCATTAAGGACAAATACTATTTTATAAATAGGCATGTAATTCCACGGATAAAGGTGCCTCAAGGTTGGTTGCTCGCAAGAAAAACAAATATGCGATATTTTTAGATAGTTCAAGCAACCCAAAATATAGCCATGTATATTGTTCTGACTATTTTTATGAACCTTCCGCTACATCGACATTCATAGCCCAGGAAATAGAGTTGGACTAGACTTTTTGGTTCGGCAAGCTGAATTTGTCACTATAGATGCTAAATATTATGTACAACAACATATTAGTTTCCCCCCATTTTTATAATGGGTGGAAGATTGTTTACAGGATGGTTAATTGTATAACTTTTACGTAAATTCACTTTTTTCGCTTATAACTCTTTTTCCGTTCATTTCCACGAGAAAACAGTAAAGTACTTTTTTTCATCTTTAAGAGACCTACAAAAGTTATAAACAGAAGAAGTTTATTTATGACTTTTGAATTAAACATTTATAAACTGCATTATTGTTACCACCAGAACGTTTTGGCATCGCATCCTCTCATTCCTTATCACTGTCCTAATAACTCATACGAAATCTGGAATCGGTAAGTTGAATAGTTTACAAGTTATGGCCTTATACACGAATTAACTAATTATTAGTCTGGACGATCCCGAGGATCTTCCACAATCGCACTGAATTTTTTCATGGTATCGTCAAGATTCGTTAAAAAAACAACGGAATTACCAAGAGCTATCCTTTCACCAAGTTTCATAAAAAAATATTTATTTTTGAAAGAGCTATTTGAACAAATGCGAATTTTAGCGGTTTTTTTGCAATAACTAATTAATTTATTTATCGATCAAAACCGGTTTGGGCTTATTCGATCCGTGTTAAAAATTCCTACAACTTTCGTTTGAAACATTTTTTTCTAAAATGTTTTTTTATAAAAAAAACTGTTTCTTGCGATCTTTGGACGCCATTTTGAAAATGAAGTCCAAAAATTCAGGTGGGGTATAGTAGTTCATTGAATTCTACGGATTTTTTCCTAATTTTTACATATTTTCAATTACTCAACTAGTTTTTAGTAAAAAATTAGGTATTTTCGACAATTTTATTGGAGAGAAGTCTGGATCACCAAATTCTCAAAGATTACTATATTATTTACACAAAGCATATTCTCAGAAAAAAAATTTAAAATCGCATACTTTCCAATTCCCAACTCGAAGAGAGCAAAACATGACCAACGAGTAGCCAGAAGCCGCCGAAAAATCGCTTGAGCAGCGAGAAATTTTCACTATACCTACTTTTCAATTATCTCAGCCTAATCCACCGAAATCGTTTCACAAGTAGCCGCTGAGGATCCGAAAAGCTTAAGCAGCACTGCTTGTCCAAAGCCCACGACACGACAAAAATCTGACCCATGTTTCAAGTCGAGCTGGCGAGACCCAACAAGGCAAAATCTGCGGAACCATCGATCCTTGTGTTCAAACGTCGGCCCCAATAACTTGTAGTTTATAAACCAGAACCATATAGTGCTTGCTTTGAGGGAAATCAACTAATTAGGAGGCTTTGCTAATTTATTCTGTATTATCTTAGCAATTTTTCTTAATAAATGTCAAGTTTAATAAAAATTATTTTGCTAACATGATTTTACTGCCCTTAGAACCATTATTTCACAAAGTTTGGAGAGACTAGCATCGAAATTTTCAAATTTATTATCTATGCCGTGAACAAATCAGTCATTGGGTTTAAATATGTCCTCGGATCCATGGTTTTCATTTAAATAGGATATGGAATAAAGTTCAAGTTGACAGAAACACTTAAATGGTACATAAATTTATTTCCGTCATAAGACATACAAAAAAGCGACTACCTACTACATTTGTGTTTAGCCACTCATCATCTTATAAAAGTAACAAACACTATTTAGAAACCTGCATATAAGTAAGGTTATAAAAATAATTGGAGACTCATTATTTTTAAATACTTTTACCTACATCTAGTTACCTATGTAGGTATGTTAAATGTTCTTGTAGATAGATAACAGTGTTGTTACATTTTTCAACAAATGAAATAACAGGAACTCTTTCATATATATATATTTTTTTACTCATGGTACTAATAGTATATGGAACTTAAAGAATATCTAATATTTATTTAATTGTGTTCAGAGTTAACACAATAATAATACTTATATATGGAACATTACAGCTTTTTTGTTGTTGAACAATGTACTGTAACAGAAAGTAAGGTTTGATAGGTAAAAAAAAACAAAATAATGGAACTTTCTGGTAAATTTTGGTGTTTGGAATACTAGGAAATAACCTTGTTAGCCAACGGTGAATCCACATTTGCTGCACTTCTTTTGGCGCATGCAAAGGCAGCAGATGAGCCCGCATGGAAAGCAGCAGATACAGCACAACCATGCGCAACAGGAGTATGATCCCGTCCAAGTCCTGTTGTGGCAAACTCGGCAGCCCCCAGGTGTACCACTGTTAACTACCACGTCTGGAATAAACAATAACGCGACTAAAGAGAAGCCAAACTGACAGTCACATTGAATTATTCGTAATATTTTATAAATTGTTCTAAAATTATTTGACAAAGCAAGCCTTCCAATTGGCTAAATCAAAATTTTAAACTATGGATTAAACGTATGTCACGTAAATAAATATACCGTACTGTAGGTGTAAATCTGGTATGATTTAGAATTGACCAAAAGATCTAAAAACTAGAATCTTAGAGCTTCAAAAATTTTTTAATTTCTGATACGACCATTTTTCACCTAAATACAGTCTGTCAAAAATCACGGAAAATTTTCGGAAATTCTTTTGACTAATGTTTGCATTAGTGTATTTTAAACAGACCAAATACCTACATGTTCAACGTGGTAAACCACAGACATCATCCCCTATTCCCTCCCATCATTTTACTAAGGTTAATCGCTGACGGAAGCTCGATTTTTTTAACAAAACACCCGGTATATTTCCATACTTGAATGTTAATATGTTTTCCCAGTTCAATGCGTGTTATGTACGTGTTATGATAATTGTTTATTAGAATTTCTTTATTCAATAGAGGTTTTTTCTATTTTAATTAAATTGCTCTTGCATGAGCTTAATTTCTGGAATTAGTTGGAATATTTAAAGAAATCGTTTAGCAAAATATTGCACAATTTTATATAACATGAACCGCTCCCGTAGCTTCCCATTGAACATAATGCCGGGAAATTGCCTCATATGGGACACTTTTAATTATCGAGGAATTTTCAATGATTGAATCCGTTGTTAAAATAAGTTATATGTAACAAAAACAGTTATAAAGTTTAAGTAATACTTACAAGTAGTTGTGGAAGATGCATATTGTGGTTGGGGTTGAGCCATAATTATTGGGGGTTGTAGTGGAGCTGCTGAAAAATATTACACTTTTTTTGATTGTATAAAAAAATATGGCTTGAAAGGAAATTTCAGTCTGCATACGACAGGGTAAAAAAATATAGGGTGTTATATTTAAGTTAACAAAGTTATAGCTGATTGAAGTTATCAAAAAGTAACAGCAAAAATGAAACACCTAGTATTAAATGTTTTAATTTGTTGGTATACCATAATTTAGCATTACCTATACCCTTTACAGATACGAAAAATCCGGCTTGATATCAAGCTCCTGAAAAGAGTTACTAGCATCTTCGCGGACCCTTGCATCTGTCAAATTTTTTCTGTAAAAATAAATTACTCAAAATCTATAACTCCTAGGTATAGGGAATATTTAATAAAGTGACCCTAAAATTTCACATAGAGTACGAAAATGCAATAATATATAGGGTATTTAAAATAACGAAGTTGCTGTATAGTTTACAAAGCTATTGGTACCTCCACTTATTTATAGGGTCAACAAAAGTCAAATATAAGAAACAACTGCTGATAAATGCGTGAGTATCTATTACAAGCAGTTTGATAAGTATGGATTATGTTGCGAAATGCACATTTTGCCGATTTAGATTCGTCAGCCTTTTCACTGCTAAACAGTCTGTATAAATATTTGTTATTACTGATCGAATCAGTGACCATAAAGTATATTTAAAAGTAAACAACAAAACTATGCAAAATTTATCAACGGCTCCATGAGAGTTGGTCGATGTTGAAGATGCTTGGTTATTTATTATGTCTGGCTGAGATTGCATAACAATATTAATTGCTGCTACTTACACAAGTCCAAATGATAATTTAGTACATTAAAAAAACCTTCAAAAATTAAAAAACATGTTAGGCATTTTTTTTGTGAAAGAAATGGAGAACATTTTCGATTTAATCTCACCTCAAAACCATAAACACAAAGTTTCATTATTATAGCTTTTATATAGCTTGTGATAAAAAAAATATATAATTTAGCTGTCTTATTGTGAGCACCCTGTATGAGTGAAATCAATGAAACTGCATAGATGTACCTTCGGTTAATAAAATTACGAAACTTTGTATTTACAGTTTTGAGGTGTGATCAAATCGGAAATGCTATCCATTTCTTTCTTAAAAAAATGCCTAATATGTTTTTAATTTTTGAGGATCTTTCCTTAATGATAGTAGGCCGTAGAAAAGATCACATGTCAAAAAATACAATATCAAAAAGTAGGCCTTTTTGAGTACTAACTGAAGACAACATAACAGCTCGTTGGCACTATTGCGAACAAAACTATTGTTTCTCAACATTTCATTTGTGATATGACTGCTATCTCAATAAACCCAACCCATAACTTATATCATTATATTATAAATATCCGTTTCCATGCAATGCTTTAAACTATTTAAAATTCAAGTCCGGCAATTGACAAAAATATGCATCGATGTTTCACTTCAAAAACGATCCTCCAAACCAAATAAAACGTTTAATTATTTACTTTCATTCGGTTATAATTAATGGTTCAATGATTTGGTCTTGTAGTAAAATGGAAGGCCCAACTTCATAATTACAAAATTTAAAAGAAGCAAATTGTTCCCCGTTACCGATTTTACAGTGTAATTAAAAGTGGAGGTACTTACAGGGCTGTCCGTGGGTTTGGTTCACGAAACCGCCATCATAAGGTGGTGGCACATCTTTTGCGTCCATTTCTGAAAGTCCGAGTTGAAGAAAATATTAGAACATTTGTCCAGGTTGATTTAATGATGGAGTAATAGTAAGATTTCGTGTTATTATTTAGAAAATTAGGGGAAAAATAACGCAGAATCGCAAAAAATACATTTTATATGAAAAAACCGCGGAGTGCTATTAAATTAAAGGGTGGAAATTGGAGATAGGGGTGAAAATGCACCCCTTTCAGTTTTTTAATTGTAGCTCGAAAACGAAGCAAAATTTCCGTATAGTTCATAGGAAAATTTATTTAGAGAATTGAATTTCCCATTGAAATGGCCTAGTTAAAAATTCTAAAGAAAAATTTACAAAAAATCGTTAATAAACAATTTGAAAAAAAGCAAAAAATTCGATTATTTTATTTTTTTACATTTTTGACTAATTTTTCCTGCCTCTAGTTTATTTTAGTAAAGATAGGTACAGGCATTTCTTCATAAAAAAGTAGGTAAAACTTCTTTCAAAATAAGAGGTTGTAAAGTATTTTTGGTTGAAAATTGACTGAATTGGCCAATTGGAAGTTTGAGCGGCTATATATCAGTGACCAAAAAAGAAACCTCGTATTCTTTGGTGAATCTTTCGTATAAAGTTTTTATTATCTAGGATCTAGGCTTCGTTAAAAAGATACAGGGTGTTAAACTTAAAAAAACGTTTTTTTTTTTTTTAATAATTTAAAAACGTACTAAGTGGAATAATTTGTATGTATATAAACATTGTCCCAAATCTGAGGTCTTTTCCTAAAATAAAGCTTTATATGAAAAACTCCCATTAAAATTCACCAAAGAATACTAGGTTTCTAGGTTTCATTTTTGGTCGCCGTTTGTGAATCACCCTGTATAACCAAATTACAGGATATTAACTACGCGTAAAATAAAGACGTTAACAGCTGTAACTACTAACTTAAAAAAATGTAATTCCCATGCATGTCGTTGTGCTGATTAACAATAAACAAACCAGCCATATCGCATATTTGCCGATATGCACTTTACGTGGGTTCAGCGAAAGCAGTGAACATATTCTCTGTCATCCAACTGGTGATATTTAAATGGGATGAAATATAAAATATGCAAAAAACTGAAAATAACTGACCATTATGATATCAAGGATGCTATAATCATACCATGTGAATCACTGGCCAGACTGCCAATTGTCCAGATAAAACAATAATTATTTACCACAATATAAGTATATAACTACAAGAATAAAAGTTTTTAAAATCAAATCACTGAAAATATTCAGAAAAATCTAAAAAGCCGAAGATAAAATATCTCATAATATACAGGACCAAATAACAAAGTCTACATTACTTGCAACATTAATTTTTAGCAAAACTTCGTTGATTAAAAATTGCTTTAGAGAATGATAGAAGAAATTCCATCTAAACTATAAAAATGATGAAACATAAGAATTCCTTTAATTTTTCCACGCAAAAACATCGGAAAATGTATCTTTCCCTCCTCAATAGACGATAAATTCATCGAAGAGTTACTTTCGTTTTAGTTACTGTGTAGCAAACTTATTTAACCAGAAAACGATCATTTTACGAATAAAATGGAGTCATTTTTTCTTTGAAATATACTTCGAAATCAAATGAACTCGAAGTTTACATAATATTCAGTGGCGTCGAAATTTTAATAAAGTTTCATAACGAGAAAAATCTAATCGCTGTTAAAAGTACAGTTATAATGTTTTATGATTTAATTGTTTACTTTTAGGTGTCTTATCAAAGCCACGACTTAATTCCTTTTTAAATAATGATCTTTTACCGCGTATAACAATGCAAGATACCCCAACCACTGTTATCGCCCATTACTATATTTCATTGCGAGAACATTTACATGCATATTTCTATTTTTGATTCGATAGTCTTGTGTAAAATATACAAGAGTTTTGTTGTAAAATAGTAACGTATAATAACAAGAAATTTACGAGAAAGGGCAACTTTATGGTTTGACATCACATCTGTTGAAGACATGTTTGTATTGGTTGTTGTGTTAAATTAACATGAGAATTCAGTAATTGTTATCAACTTTTGGGGTTCCGGCTTAGACCGACGCTGAGTGAGCAGCGTAAGCGATGATGTCATTTGGCCAGGGCCAGTGCTGAGCTTGCAGAATTGGGCGCGGGATATCAACATCGGGACGATATACCAGATACTCTTACTCGATCTGCCGAAGAAAGTAGATGCTAACGTTATAACTTAATTTTATTAAGAAATATTATTTATAATTAAATTTTGTAAAATAAAAGTTGTTTACATAATATTTAATATTTAATATTTAATAGGTACCATCAGTAGTGTAAATTGCAGTTAGGTAAAGGTAAACGCATTCACATTACATCGACCGAAAAATAGTTTCGAAAATGTTACTTTCTTCCTCGGTTTCAGGTAAAATTTATTTAACTGTACCGGTCGGATAATCGGCTTGTTAACATGTTTTTGTACACTTCTGGGAAAAATTAAGGGAACAAAAATATTCCACAATTTTTTAGATTTTTGAGTCTGCATCAAAAATTTTTTCATAGATTGAATTTTCTTGTCCGTGGACAGTTAAAACAAAAATAAAGAATTGTATAATAAGTATATCTATTTTATACAAGTATCTATAAAAATGTTTGTACTGGTAAAGTTCAATTAACTTTAATTATTACTTAACAATGTATTTGCATATGGACATAGAAACATTTTTGGGAAACAGGAAAACAATTTTAAACAAATATTTATTGATTATACCTTCTTATCTGATATTTACCAAACGGTATCGTATTTATTAAATGCCTATTTATAGATATTATATACTGGAAGTGAACAAATAACTAAGGATGAATAAAAACAGCAAGTCCAATTAATTAATAATTTGATAACAGGTAAAACAAAAAACATTGATTATCAAGTAAGCCTTTTCTTACCAACTGTTCCACTCGCCTTTAAAATATTTTTTTTTCAAACCAAAACAACCTTCTGGCAACTGAAAGAAAACACAATGAAAATAAAACGATAAAAAAGTTTAGTTTGAGAACTATTATTGTCGACTGCTTGACTTCACTCCAACTATGAGAGAAAAGAATGAAGGGGAATCGCTTTGGCTCCTCTTCCCTTTTCGGTTTTTTCGCAATTTAGAGAAAGATAGCTATATGCAACGCTAGGGGCGCGTTCAGATGATACATTGAGCGTAGTCGAAGGATATCTGTGTCTCTTTCTAATGTTTGCGCTAGAAGAAGATTAAATTGAATTCGGTAATGTCAGATATTTTATATGATCGCGCTCCACACAGTTCACAAAATCCCCCATTGGAGGAACAGTGCGTTTTTGAATAGTATAAAATCCCTAGATAAAGTACCCACCATTTTAGAACAAAATCTCTATTCTATTGCCAACTTTGAAATATGATATTAATATACAATCTATATAAACATAGGTATATTTTTATAGGGTGTAAAAATATACTTTTAGTACGTGGATAGGTATTTGGTTAAAAGATAAATTCTTTCTTTAATGTTATTCAAACTTTTATTATTTTGTTTAAGCCCTCATTTTTTTACATCTTTTAGTTCAAAAAAATGTAAATAATAGGCATATGAGTAAATAAATATTTAGTTACTCATATGATAATAGATGGTCGGAATACTTAAAACCTAACCTGAAACACAATGACTCAAAGTGACTATTTATCAAACCGCCATTTTGGCGTTGTTGCTGTTACTATAATAATTAAACTATATATATTAAAATACCTAGATATTGACAAAGTATCATAGCAGTCCGTTTCTGTTTCGAGGCAGAATCCCTATTACCAACATTGAAATATAATTTTAAATTTTCTATACAGATTTACGTGACCTATTAATTTTCACATATTTTGGACAATTTATTACGCATATATCATCAAATATTAGAAAAATTAAATCCTAATATATATTTTTTACACAAAAAGTACAAATTGATAATCTACTTCTAATAGAAGTCAATGGATAACTGTCAGTTAGATAGGCAACACAACATACATCTTGTCAAAAAGTTGATTTGCGAACTTCTTCGGTTGGTAAAGAATCGTATTACATACGGATATTTACTGTCACCAAATGTTATATTACTTGATAGTTCAAGATATCTACTCTTTTACAGCATTCTTTGAATGCTTCCGAATTTTTTTATACTGTGAAAGTTCAACGGAACAAACCTATTCTAGTCTAGTGTCTAGTGGAATTTTGGAACGTAACGTACATTCCTTCAACCACTTTAATTTTATAGCTGTCAAAAATTGTCAAAATACTAGTGAACTACAGATGACATGTCTAGTTGACAGATTGCTGGTGCCTAAGTTGTAAACATTTTAAAAAGTAATAAAATTAAAGATAAGTGTGTGTACACGTGTAAAAATATTCGTCGAGAAAGTTAAAGACCTCCATAAAGTGTTGTATACAGAAATCGCAGTAAAATAGCAAATGTCAGCTAGATTGCGTTCAATATTCAGTTTTTCTACACGTCACAAACGACGATGATCCCTTCGGTATGGTTGAAGGGTTTAAAGAATTAACTAATTTTACGTTTTATTAACAATGCAATCCAACAATAAAACTAAAGAAATGTTCATACTGAGGGCTTTGGAGAAAATTTTAAATGACAAGGAAATTAAAAGATCCCACCATTCACAGCTTAAAAGAGCATGTGAAGCAGCTCTTGGTAAGAAAATATTTCCTTAAATTTAAATTAACATATTGATCTTATAACGTTATTTTTGTACGGTATTGTTGTCCTGTTGATTATTGAGGATTATTGCACCATAAGTGGTTATTAAATTATTCGTTTAAGCGAACAGTACCATCTGTGTGATTAAATATTTACCTTACATTAGCATTTAAGTGATAAACTCGTGCTGTATTTAGGGCATTTTTTAATATTTTTTGTGATTTGGTTGACTAATAATAATATAGCAGAATTGCAAGTAGATCTTTATAATTTATACTAAAAATTAATTTATGTTCAGTTCCATATATATAACCTTTTTCATTACCAATAGTAGAGCAAATAGTTAATCGATAGCGACTTACATTTTTTATAATTTTTATCAGATTTATGTTGGGGATATAACTCATTTTAAGTAAAATATGTAATTTATAATGCATTTGTTGGGGATGTAGGATAAGGAAGTTTCTAGGCGTAATATATTTTTATTTTACAAATAAATAGATCTATTTGAACCAAATTTAAACCACACTTTCTAATTCTGAAGAAAAAGTGTCTTTTACTTAGCGGTATGTCGAGATGAATTAAATTTAACACAAGTTTGAATTCTTTTTGTGTTATGACAGGAAACAAGGATTTATTTCGTCTATTGGAACAATTATACCAGTCTGTTTTCAGTAATACATTATGTGAATTGTAAACAGTAATGCATTATTTTAAATTAAATTGTGCTGGTGCTAAGTAATAATCATCAAAGTGTAAATATGTAGTTACCGACCAAGTAATATTTTTGAAGTATGTACATGGTGATAATTGTAGTTAAATAATTTTTTGTATAAAAAATGTAGGTACCCATACCAAATTTCAGTCTTTACGTAAATATAAATATTAGAAAGGGTGTTGGCAATTGATAAATTAATAAATAGGGATATGTCCTAATCTATAAATAATTTTGTCATAATATTGAAATAATTTCTTTGTCTCTATTGCGAACTCAACGAAAACAAAGGTGGTTCCTTTATTAGTTTCATTATACAATTTTTGTTTATTTATTTGTCACCTTATATAAATTTATGTTTGTTATTTAGTTTTGTTCTTAATATGCCATAAAAAGATGAAAAGAAATTTATAATGATGCAAGGTATTAATAACGTATTAACCATATCTTATCAATAACCTGTAGCAGTAGTTCTGCAGGTTTACTTATACATTTCGTGTCGTTTGCTACAATATGATCAAATCGTTGTTTGGGCGACTGAAGGTTTTTAAAAAGGGTAAAAATTAATTTAATTTTTAATAATGATTTTCATTAATGAAAAAATTTGCTAATGTTTTGAATATTGCTGTTTACTAGGTAATTATTAATATATTTGCTACTAAAAATAGAAGAGTGATTATAATAAATGAGTTAACATTTTATAATGACTTATGTTAATTAAAATGGTTCTCCATTTTAATATTTTTCAATTCTATTATTAATAGATATCTCAGCAAATTCTAATATCAAGAAGGTTATATATATTTTAAATGAGAATTATAATTCTAGAACAAATAAAAAAGGAAACCGCCGAAACCTCAAAAGAGGATGAGAAGATATCGGATGCACTCCCGTTACCAAAAAGTGGGGAGGCCAACGTCCTTACCACTGAAAAATATTTCCTACCTTTCGAACTGGCATGCCAAAGCAAATCTTCTCGAATCGTAGTGACTGCTTTGGATTGCCTGCAAAAATTAATAGCTTACGGCCATCTGACTGCCAACATCCCCGACTCTACCACACCTGGGAAGCTGCTTATCGACAGAATTGTTGAAACCATTTGCGCATGTTTTACTGGACCTCAAACTGACGAAGGTATTACTTCGATTATGAAAAATAATACAGTGCTTTTAAGTTGAAAGTAGAACTTAAAAAAAGTAGTGGCATTTTTCAAGTGACATTTTCTTGAAAATTCAGACGTAACTAACATTTGTAATTTAAATGAACTCAAATCTATGAATTGACAGAATGAAGTCACAAAGAAAAGTAGTCAAAATGCAATCGTGCCGCTATGGCAGCATTTTGCTGACACTCTCCGTACATCAGTTAATTCATACTGTAAATATGAACTATTTTAAATACTTAATTTATTGTTTAAAACCTAAATTGTCACTACTTGGGTAAAAAGGGCTTAAATTTCGGCTTAATAAGAGCTCTGTATGAGTTATAAACAACTTTTTCATACATTTGTTGTGCGCTTTTAGGAGTTCAGCTGCAAATTATAAAAGCGTTATTGACCGTCGTTACCAGCCAACATGTCGAAGTACACGAAGGTACCGTCCTTATGGCGGTGCGGACTTGCTACAATATATTCCTGGCGAGTAAAAACCTCATCAATCAGACGACGGCCCGAGCCACCCTGACCCAGATGCTGAACGTGATATTCACCAGGATGGAGAACCAAGCGCTGGAGGCGGAGGTGCAAGCGGAAATCCAGTCGAATCAGTCGATGAACGACTCGAAGTTATCGAACGGGACTGATTATAAATCGAAGTCCGAGAATGAGATTAAGACCGAGAGCGAGTTGGCTGGGGAGGGCGTTGTTCCGGAAATTATCGAGCTTTTGTTGGACAGCGTGATGGCGGAAGTGGAGAGCAAGCTGGCCGAGGCCCAAACGAATAATTCGGTCGAGAACGAGACTCAAAGTGTTTCGTCGTCGATTACGAGGTTAGTAACACGAAATATTTACAGCTGGATTTATAAAAAAAACAATTTATGGGAATTTATGGGGAATATGTTTTAATTTGTGAAGTATACCTCCAAAAAGTGTTATTGTAAACCTCATTCTGCAACTTTTTATTGAGAATGATTGATTGAAATTAAAAAATGGCGGACATTATACCACCACCAAACCCGTTGTACCCCAACAAATGATTTTAGATCAGTTTAAAGTATCGATATGGGCGTTTTCGAGGTCACTGAATCTTATTTTAACTTTGAAATTTTTAGATTCAAAATGGCGGATCCAATATGGCGGACATTACCCCCACTTAACTCATTTTACCGCAATAAATGATTTAAGAGCAGTTTAAAGTATCGATATGGGGGTTTTAGGGGCCGCTGAATCTTATTTTAACCTCGAAATTTCTAAATTCAAAATGGTGGATCCAATATGGCGGACATTACCCCTACTTAACTACCTCACCAACTGTGTAAAGGTATTATCGCTTTCCCCCTTTTTTAGGTTTTGAATTACTTGTCTGAGGTTCAAAATATCGAAAACGAGTTATTTGGGGGGTAATGTCCGCCATATTGGATCCGTCATTTTAAATTTTAGATTCTTGATGTTAAAATAAGATTCAAAGACCTCGAAAACCCCACATCGCTACATTAAACTGATTTTAAATCATTTGTCGCTGTCAAATGGGTTAAGTGGGGATAATGTCCGCCATTTTGAAATCTTAAGGTTAGAATAAGATTCAGTGACTCCGAAAACTCCCATATTGATACTTTAAACTGATTTTAAATCATTTGTTGTGATAAAATAGATTTGGTGGTGGTATAATGTCCGCCATTTTGGATCCACCATTTTGAATTCTGAATTTTGAGGTTAAAATAAGATTCAGTGGTCCCGAAAACCCCCAAATTGGTACTTTAAACTGACCTAAAATCATTTGTTGTGGTATAATGGGTTTAGAGGTGGTATAATGTCCGCCATTTTGGATCCGCCATTTTCTAATTTGGAATTCCTTCAGCATTCTCAATAAAAAATGGCAGAATGAGTTTTATATGCTTTTTGGAGGTCTTGTTGTTCGACTAATATTGTGTTTAGGCAATCGGAATTTAATGGTGAGACTTCAGGATCAAAAATATTTATCGCGCGACACCGGGACTGGGCCTTAGAATTTTCAAAAACAAATCTAATACTCCGTTTCAGGGTACCGTCTCAGGAGAGCATGGACACCCAGAGCGAAAACGACTCCGCCGTAACGGCGAAATTCACCCACATATTACAGAAGGACGCTTTCCTCGTCTTCAGGGCTTTGTGTAAGCTCTCCATGAAGCCGTTACCCGACGGAACTCCCGATCCTAAATCGCACGAGTTAAGATCCAAAATCCTTTCCCTTCAGCTACTCCTATCCATCCTGCAAAACGCCGGGCCGGTCTTCAGGTCGAACGAAATGTTCATCACGGCTATCAAGCAGTACTTATGCGTGGCGCTTTCCAAGAACGGAGTCAGCTCCATCCCCAAAGTGTTCGAGTTATCTCTGGCGATATTCCTGGCGCTTCTGTCGAATTTCAAGCTTCACTTGAAGATGCAGATCGAGGTGTTCTTCAAGGAGATATTTCTGAACATCCTGGAAACCTCGAATTCCTCCTTCGAACACAAGTGGATGGTCATCCAGGCCCTGACGCGTATCTGCGGGGACGCGCAGAGCGTCGTCGACATCTATGTGAATTACGACTGTGATCTGGCGGCGGCTAACCTCTTCGAACGTCTAGTCAACGATTTGTTCAAGGTGGCTCAGAGCAGGCACGGCATAGAACTAGGCGCCTCGCCCAACCAGGAGAGAGCCATGAAGCTGAGGGGCCTGGAGTGCCTCGTTTCGATACTGAAGTGCATGGTCGAGTGGAGCAAGGATTTGTACGTAAACCCGAATTCTCAGTCTACCGTGGGGGAACAGCAACACAGGGAAAACGACGACGCTTCGCTGAAGTCCCACGGGGGGTCCTCGAACAGCCTGCATTCTAGCGAGAGCGGCGGGAATAAGGAGATACTGGACTCGCCGGAGCAGCTCGAGGTTCTCAAGCAGCAGAAAGAGGTTAGATGTTTTTTTTTAACTTTGAAATTCCGTCGATTGTCAGGTGGAAAATAATAATTCTTCTAGCTCTACACCGATGTGTGGACATGGGTCCATCTTACTCAGTTTCAAGGAACTAACACAAATGTTTTGTTTCACCATAGCACAAATGTTGTCTTGCTATACACGCAAGCCATTTTTGACACTAACTACTAAAAAACTATTGTAAACACTAACACAACGACGATTGTAAAATCGGATTTCAGTACTTGGAGTCGCCAAAGCCACGTGGTTCTCCACGTGTATTGCGACTGATGCTAGAAATGCTTAAAAATAAGACAACTTTAATAATTTTTTGCTCGGAAACTAAGGATTTTACAAAAAACTTTTTACGATATTGACTCCATTTCTCATGTCGCATCTATTCCCAAATTTTTTTGGATAAATTGTGTATAATGACCATTTAAGTCTATCAGGAGTTGGAATTATCAGTATTTTTGCCATACATTTTTTTAATGTATACAGAATGATGAATATATCTGGGGAAATGCATTTTTCTTGAAAACGACTGAAAAATAATTAAGTTCTGGGAACAGCGTTATATTTTCACTGGCTGTCGCTCAAATGTGGGATAAAAAATGTTTGTTTTAAACAGTGCTCATTTTTTCGGCTCGTTTATCTTAAAAGTTTCTATTTTTATCTATTTTTTAATCAAAAATAAAAAAACCATGCAATTTTTGTTTTCTACGATATGTCATATGACACTTTTATTTGTTTGTTTTCATCAAATTGTCGAGTTTCCCATTTTTACAAAGAGTACTTTGAAAACAAAACATTGAATTATTACTTTAAAAGAAATTTTGACAGTTCAGTTATATTTTCATTGACAGTGTTAAAGATCAGATAATTAAAAATGCAATTTTCACACAAAGCAAATCTGAAAATTCTTCAAATAAATTTATCAAATTTGAAGCATATCTCACTCTTCTTCATGTGAAATTTGTCATATAATGCGCTTTATTTATTTGTTTTCGTCAAATAACCGAGTTTCCCATTTTTACAAAGAGTGCTTTGAAAACAAAACATTGAACTATTACTTTAGAAGAAATTTTGACAGTTCAATTAAATTTTCATCAACGATTTCGAAGTTCAGATATTTAAAAATGGAATTTTCACACGATACAAATTGAAAATTCTTCAAATTAATGAATCAGTTTTGAAGACCTCACTCATCTTCATGCGAAAGTAGCATTTTTAAGTTGTTTACTCTTTGACATTGTTCAATGTTTTGTTTTCAGGGCATTCTTTGTAAAAGTCATTTGAGAATAAACCAAAAAAAAAATGCACTGAATTAAAACCTTAATATAACTGCGTTCATATGAAAAAAAGCGTCCTAACGATGTCTGTATTTAAACAGTCCTTCCATTCACGATTAAAGAAAAAAATTACGAATATCGACATGTACAGTTTTTTGTCAATAACTTCAAAACGAAAGGAAAGATAGGTAAAATTTGTCTTTGACAAGCTATTCGTCATCGAGCTCCACAAATTTGCTCTAATTTGACCAAAGCGGTATCTTTTAAGTCAACCGAGATTCTATTAGTCTGGCTCTAATCTGGTAGAGCTTTGGTGGTTTTTTCCCATAAAAATACCCATTTTTCCTTGCTCCTCAATTGTTTTAGAGATACACTGAACAATTGAACGATTAGCAGTGGTATGGACGTGCCTCAAGGCTCTTCCTTGTGGCCACTGTTCATTAATGTACTTCTTAATGACTTTTGCATATGTTTATCCCTTTGCAAATTTTTATTGTTGACACGACTCGTCATAAATTCTGCTTTTATTATTAATGTTTGTAAATCGCGATTTAGGTTTGGGAGACGGGCATAGACACGTTCAACCGGAAGCCCCGCAAAGGGATAACTTACCTTCAGGAGCAGGGTCTTCTGGGGGCTACACACGAAGAAGTCGCCAAATTTCTACACAATGAAGACAGACTGGACAAAACGTTCATTGGCGAATTTTTAGGCGACAACGATGAATTTTGCAAGCAGGTTATGTACACCTACGTCGATCAAATGGATTTCACCAGCATGGACTTTGTCGCCGCCTTGAGACACTTCCTGGACGGATTCAGGTTGCCCGGGGAAGCGCAGAAGATCGATAGGTACGATTTTTTCCTATTTAATTGTTCATTGTTAATATTTTTTATGTTCCAGGCTCATGGAGAAGTTTGCCAGTAGATACTGCGAGTGCAATCCGAACAATGGGCTGTTCGCTAGCGCCGACACGGCTTACATATTAGGTTTCTCCATCATCATGCTGACGACGGACCTGCATTCCCCCCAAGTAAAAAACAAGATGACCAAGGAGCAGTACATCAAGCTGAACAGCGGTAACACGGACAGCAAAGACGTGCCCGTCGAGTACCTGTCCCAAATCTACGACGAGATAGCCGGCCACGAAATCAAAATGAAGAACACGGTGTGCAAGCCGGGCAAGCAGCAGGTGAACAACGAGAAGCGGAGGAAGATCCTGTTCAACATGGAGATGGAAGCGATATCCACCGCGGCGAAGAACCTGATGGAGTCCGTGTCCCACGTCCAGGCGCCGTTTACCTTAGCGAAACACCTCGAGCACGTGAGACCCATGTTCAAGATGGCTTGGACGTCGTTCCTGGCGGCGTTCAGCGTGGGCCTGCAGGACTGCGACGATCCCGAGGTGGCGGCCTTGTGTTTGGACGGCATCCGGTGCGCCATAAGGGTAGCGTGCATCTTCCACATGACCTTGGAGAGAGACGCTTACGTCCAAGCGTTGGCGAGGTTCACTTTGCTGACCGCCAATTCCCCGATCATGGACATGAAGGCTAAAAATATCGACACCATCAAGACTTTAATAATGGTGGCGCACACCGACGGCAATTACTTGGGGACCAGTTGGTTGGACATTTTAAAGTGCATATCGCAGTTGGAGCTGGCTCAGTTGATCGGTACCGGCGTGAGACCGGAATTTTTATCCGGACCCGGACACAAGCCCCCCGATCCCAGCTCGAAGGAGCACATCGGACAGACCAGTTCCCAGAGCGTCGTGGTGGCCGTGGACAGGATTTTTACTGGATCGATCCGATTAGACGGCGACGCCATAGTGGACTTCGTCAAGGCGTTGTGTAAGGTCTCGTTGGAGGAACTGGCGTACCCCGGCCACCCCAGGATGTTCTCCCTGCAAAAAATCGTGGAGATCTCTTACTACAACATGGGCCGGATCAGGCTGCAGTGGTCCAGGATATGGCAGGTGCTCGGGGAGCACTTCAACACCGTCGGCTGCAACCCCAACGAGGACATCTGCTTCTTCGCGGTGGACAGCCTGCGGCAGCTGTCCATGAAGTTCATCGAGAAAGGGGAATTCTCGAATTTCAGGTTCCAGAAGGATTTCCTCCGCCCGTTCGAGTACATCATGAAGAACAACGTGTCCCCGACGATCCGCGACATGGTGGTACGTTGCGTCGCCCAAATGGTCAATTCCCAGGCCAAAAACATACGGTCCGGGTGGAAGAATATATTCTCCGTGTTCCACTTGGCGGCGGGCGATCAAGAGGAAGCCATCGTCGAGCTAGCGTTCCAAACGACCGGAAAAATCATCACCGAGTTGTACGAGAAACAGTTCCCGTCGATGATCGACTCGTTCCAAGATGCCGTCAAGTGTCTGTCGGAGTTCGCGTGCAACGCCCGCTTTCCCGACACCAGCATGGAGGCGATACGACTAGCCAGGGCGTGCGCTTGTAGCGTGAGCGGCGCCCCGCACCTGTTCGCCGAGCACGGCGGTATGGAAAGCGACATGGCTGTCCCGGAAGAGGATAGGGTGTGGGTTCGCGGCTGGTTCTCCCTGCTCTTCTCCTTGTCCTGCGTGGTGAACAGGTGCAAGCTGGACGTGCGGACGCGCGCGTTGACCGTGCTCTTCGAGATAATAAAGACGTACGGCGACACGTTCAGCGCCCACTGGTGGAAGGACTTGTTCAAGGTGCTCTTCAGGATCTTCGACAACATGAAGCTTCCGGAGAAGCAACCCGAGAAGGCGGAGTGGATGACGACGACGTGCAACCACGCCTTGTACGCCATCGTGGACGTTTTCACGCAGTACTTCGACGTTTTGGGGCCGCTCCTGCTGGAGGAGTTGTATTCCCAGCTGCACTGGTGCGTCCAGCAGGATAACGAGCAACTCGCCAGGTCCGGGACCAACTGCCTGGAGAATCTGGTGAATTCCAACGGTCACAAGTTCAACGAGGCGACGTGGGACAAGACGTGTCAGTGCATGTTGGACATATTCAACTCTACCGTACCGTCGGCGCTGCTTACCTGGAAGCCGGAATCGATGAAAACCACGGCCATTATCGAGCAGAACGGCGACGCCGGCGTCAGCAGGGGCATCCTTAAGAGATCGAACTACCAGGAAAATGGCGTCAACAATTCCGACGTGAACCTGTTTAACAGCCTCACGATTAAAAGTGCCGTGCAGCTGGAGCTTATTCAGACCATTGACAATATAGTGTTCTATCCCGCGACTTCCAGGAAGGAGGACGCCGAGACTCTGGCCCTTGCCGCCGCCGACATGACCGGGAGCGGGTCTCTCACCGAGTGCCAGAGGGAGGAACAGGGCATGTACCGTTTGTTGAGTTCGCCGCATCTCCTGCAGCTGACCGAGTGCCTTCTCCAATCTCATAGGTGAGTTTTAATGAAATAGATATTTTTTAATTTTTTTTTCATAATTTTCATACCCTGTCACTGCACGAGCTAATTGAACCTCGAGCTACGTCATGTATTGTTGTCAAATCTCATTTTTCTCAGTTTTAAGAGGGCTCAGTAGCAAATAGCCAACAGCAACAATACATTTTTATAGATTTTATTACACGGTTTTTCTAAATATGAATCAATGCACAAATAACGGACTTTCCTCCATTCTATCACAGATTTTCTATAAAATGAAGTTAGTTTGAAACTCAAATTATTTTTTGTTGTAGAGAAATTTGTAATTTGCATCGTAAATTACAAATTTCTTTACACCTAAACGTTATTTGAGTTTCAAACTAACTCCATTTTATAAATAATCTGCGTTAAAATGGGGGAAAGTCTGTTATTTGTGCATTGATTCATATTTAGACAAAACGGTGTAATAAAATCTATAAAAATGTATTGCTGGTTGCCTATTTGCTACAGAGCCCTCTTAATACATGCTTTGTCATAACGTCATACAGAAATTTTACAATGAAGACGCACAAACACAGCATACCGTCACTAAACACTGGAATAAATAAGTTTTTACACCTCACGAGACGCTTTGCTAAATATCGCTGTAAATTTTACATAAAATTACACTTATCCTGCATATACAAATTCTATTTCGGTCCAGGAAAAATGAATACGTCACGCAGCAAGTCACGAAGTTACGTATCGAATTACAAACATACAAAGTAAATGCAATAAAACGGTTCGGTGACTTATACAGCCATACTTGTTTTAAAGAATTAAATTTGACCTCAATTTTTTTGCCTTCCTCGCGTCCTGTTGTATCCTATTAGGTAGATTATTATTATATGGCTTACCTAAACTAGATGAATGTCGGAGGTCATTGACATTAAGATTCACAGACTAAACACGGTGCTTTAACAAAAATTGTAACAAATACTTTTTATTAAAAACTTGAAATGATTTAAAAAATCAGCTAATTACAAAGGACACACATCGAAAGGAAAGTATCGATACTTGATATCGGATCGGTATCGAAATCAATTTTTGATACCTACTTGGATTGAAACAAAAAGTATCGATACCCTCTTAAGTATCGAAGTATCTTTTGAGTCCCACTAGTAAAACTAAAAAAGGTCGCCATCACTAAACACGGTGTAAATTCGATTGGTTTTGAGTGAATTCGCATTCGATTTATTTTAGATTTTACTGTTGTACTTTTTTTTTAACCAAAATCCGTTACACTTTGCAGAATAAAGTACAACTTTTTGAAAGAAAAGTGGAAATACACACTCCACTCACATTTGTTACTGTGTTTAGGTAATTTTGTGATAACCGTTGCCAGTAATGTAACTCTGGTTGTCCAACATCCGGCTAAAGAATTGTTGACAGTCTGTGGCATAAACTGTATGCATTTCTATCGCTACTAATTATCTTATTTGTGTAATTGTGAAAACTTGCAATCGTTCGTTCCTCAGATTCGCGAAAGCGTTCAACCTCAACCACGAACAGAGGAATCTGCTCTGGAAAGCTGGTTATAAGGGTTCCGTTAAGCCGAACCTGCTAAAACAAGAGACGCAGAGTCTCGCCTGTTCCTTGAGGATCCTGTTCAAGATGTACTGCGACGAAGGAAGGCAAAAGCACTGGCCCGTCATCGAAAACAAACTGCTCGCCGTGTCCCAGGAGGCGTTAGAATACTTTTTACAGTTGCAAAGCGAGGGGCACAGAGAGGCTTGGACGTCTCTGCTGCTTTTGGTGATGACTAGACTGCTGAAGATGCCCGACAACAGAGTGAGTAGTTTTTTTTTGTTCTCGCCTTAGAGAAAAAGTGACTAATCGTTTCTTTCAGTTCGCTGTCCACGTTTCGAGGTACTACCCTCTGCTCTGCGAGATCGTATGCTTTGATCTCAAGGCGGAGCTCAGGTCGATCCTAAGGAGAGTCTTCCTGAGAATAGGCCCCGTTTTCCATATCACCCCGACATAGTCCAAAGCGAAATTCAAACATTTTTTTAGTTGTTTAACCGCTGGCAAATAAATTTGACAACTCGTAATCTCCGCTAAGGGATTGTTTCAAGTACAAAAAGATCTGTCGTTAAATTTTCCTTTCACGCGTAATTTAGGACGACGTTATTTTGCTGAATTGGATCGGGACAACTCTTTGACTTTACGGAGACTGTCGCTTGTGTGCTAATATTTCCAGACAAAAAAATTCTGGGAAATTTAGAGGGCTCTGTAGCAAATAGGCGACCGGCGATGCGTTTTTATAGATTTTATTACACTGTTCGTCTAAATGTGGATCAATGCACGAATAACAGACTTTCCACCATTCTAACGCAGGTTTTCTATAAGATGGAGTTGGTTTGGGACTCGGATTACTTTTTGTTGTCAAGAAATTTGTAATTCGCACTGTAAATTACAAATTTCTTTACACCAAAACGTTATTTGAGTTTCAAACCGAGTCCATTTTACAGAAAACCTGCGTTAGAATGGTGGAAAGTCCGTTATTTGTGCATTATTTCGTATTTAGACGAACAGTGTGTAATAAAATCTATAAAAATGTATCGCTGGCTGGCTATTTGCCGTAGAGCCCTCCTAAGTATTTTAGATTATGTCCTTGTTTATATATTTATAGTTAGAGGTGTAAATACTAGGTGGCGACACTCCATCTCTCTTATAGTTGTCCTATAAAGGTGGTAGTGGTTTTTTGGGAGTGCCGCCATCTGGTGTTCTTGTCTCTAAGCTACTAGATGGGGACACTCGGGAAGTTCCCGTCATTCTTGTGCTATAAACGAAGGTGGATTTTTTGGGAGTGTCGCCACCTCTAAGGTTGGATGATCTAGCCGTATAAATATATCGACAAACGTTTTATGCATGACGGTTTGAAGTATTGGCGTGCGATTAAGGACGAGCATCCTGTATATTCGCAGCCGCTACGCCACGGTAAAAACTTTATTAGGAGTCGTAGGTGATAACAAATATCTAATCATTTGTTTATAGTTAAATATTTATAGTGTACATAAAAAAAATCTTAGAACCATTCCCGTACTAAGTGATACATATTACAGTTAAGAGATACATATAAATAAATCTAAAATTTGTTACGTGCCTTCACTAGCAGTTGTTGTATTTTTAAATTATTGAATGTCAAATTGTGACTAATTTAATCTCTCGAGGATTGAGTTTTACACGCAGCCCTGCGTTTGTCGTCGGTTCGTACGTCTTATTGGTCGCCTTTCTTTGTGAATTGTAAATACAAGGTATTCGACGAGTAGTAAATTTATTTTTAGCATTTTATTATCAATAAAAGCTTTAATAAAACCACCAGACAGTCGTTTGATTTCGTTTAATGCAAGGCCACAATGAAAAGACACTCGTTCGGCACCTCCAATAAATCATTTGTATAAATATACAAAAAAATCACATTTCAATCGGGATCGACTAAAATTAATCCCTAATTCTACTATCACGGAACAATAATATTACAATCGGAAAATACAGATTGCCCCAGAAGTACACGCCGTAAACTTCGCCTTTTCAAAACGTTTCATAAACTGCTTGTTCGACTTAAATAAAAATACCTCGAAAGGGCTCTCTAGCAAATAGGCAACCAGTAATACATTTTTATAGATTTTATTGCACAGTCTGTCTAAACATGAATTAATGCACAAATAACACAGACTTTCCTCCATTCTAATACAAATTTTCTATAAAATGGACTTAGTTTGAAACTCAAATTACTTTTTGTTGTAACGCAATTTGTAATTTGCATCGTAAATCACAAATTTCTCTACACCAAAATGTTATTTGAGTTTCAAACCAACTTCATTTTATAGAAAACTTGTGTTAGAATGGTGGAAAGTCTATTATTTCTGCATTGATTCATATTTAGGCAAACTGTGTAATAAAATCTATAAAAATGTATTACTGGTTGCCTATTTGTTATTGAGCCCTCTTACCAACAGTTTCAACTTTTTTTTTTAAGAATTCAAGACATGTATTTTTGGCACACTCTATATACTGCCTTTGGTAGATACAACTTTCATAAGCTACCTCGAATAGCAAAAAATACTAAGTGCAAGTGCATTTATGAACAAATAAAATAACTTGTCACTTTTGTTGGGTTCCTCCCCTTATAAATTTTTTTATTCATGAAAATATTTGATTTTTGTAAAGAAATTCTTCACATAATTTTTTGTGTAGAATCTAGTTGTACTTAATATTTTTCTATGACTTCCGCTTTTCACATAAGAGGGCTCTATAGCAAGAATGCAACCAGCGATACATTTTTATAGATTTTTTTACACAATTTGTCTAAATACGAATTAATGCACAAATAACAAACTTTCCTCCTTTCTAACACAAATTTTCTATAAAATGGAATTCTTTTGAAACTCAAATTACATTTTGTTGTAAAGAAATTTGTAATTTGCATCGTAAATTACAAATTTCTATACACCAAAAAGTTATTTTAGTTTCAAGGTAACTCCATTTCATAGAAAATTTGCGTTAAAATGGAGGAAAGTCTGTTGTTTGTGTATTTATTCATATTTAGACGAACTGTGTAATAAAATCTATAAAAATGTATCGCTGGTTGTATATTTGCTACAGAGCCCTCTTCATTGTGTCGAGAAATGGTTAAACACCAAAAATTCTTTGTCGTTTCGTCCAATGCCAATCAAATGTTTTCACGAACAAAAAAGATACATTCAATTTTTCTCGCCAATCGAGCCTATGACATCTAAACTACTTTCTTTTCGAGAAATAGGAGAAACCCCCAAATGTGTCAAATTTGGTCCATCTTGCATAGTGCATCTCATTTTGCTAGAGTATCTTTTTTAATTGGATATTTTAAATTGTTTATTCTATAAATTTTTTTGCATAGAATTCAGTGTTTTGAGTTACAGATCAAAATGACATTTTTTTAAATAGAAACCTCAGTCGGCCATAGCCTAATTAAAGTGTTCTGCGTTGTCCAAATATATATAATTTGTCATAATTACCTTGAGAAGTAAAAAAGTTTCCTTGTCCTAAAAAGATGAATTTTTGAAAAAAATTGCTTTTTTTTTTAAATCATAACTTTTTCAAAATTTTTGTTTTTAAATGTACTTTTTGAAAAAAATGATCAAAATTATCTGGACCTATCTTGTTTTTTTTTTTTTCAATTTTCGAAAAAAAACGAAAATTTCTTGATTACCATTTTTGAATTTTTTTTTTCTTATAAAAAACATTTTTTATGTCCTCAAATTTTTTCAGTGGTTTTTTTTGTTTTCTATTTTTTCATTTTCTTTATTTTTTAATGCAGCTTTCGAAAAAAAAAATACAAAAAAATTATTCAAAACGATCTATTTTTTTTTCTAAACTAAAAAAAAAATCTAATTTTTTTCCATGTTTACCACTCAATTATTTCATTCATATTTTTTTTCAATTTTGGGATTCTATATACATTTTCAAAAATTGTCAAAATAGAAAACGAAAACACCCATTGAAAAAATTTGAAGATTTATAAAAAAATTCGTTTTTTATAACAATAAAAAAAAATCAAAAATGGTAATCATCGAGAAATTATTGTTTTATTTCGAAAATTGAAAAAAAAAAACGGGATAATTTTGATCTTTTTCTCAAAAAGTACATTTAAAAGCAAAAATTTTGAAAAAAACGTCCCGATAACTCAATTTTTGAAAAAGAAATAAAAATGCTATTTTCTTCAAAAATTCATCTTTTATTGAGTTGGGTGAAAAAAATTGAAAAAATTCTCAGATAGATTTTCAATGGAGTAGAAAACAATAAAAAAGTTTTAGCCAAATCGAAACGGATCAGGGTTAAAAGTGGTCGATTTGGCATGGAATGCCCCATACACATTTCTATCTAGCTTTTAAAACTTTAATGTAAACACCATTTATGTCATTCCTATCCAACTAACTTTTTTACATATTCACAGTAACACATTATTTTGAGATTTGCAATTTATAAATCTTAAAATAAACAAACATAACCTCAACAGATATTTGACATTTGATGTAATTTCTAAGTGTTAGTTTGATCTAAACAATTGAAGTAACTTGTCAAACGTACTGTACTGTGCTGCCACAAGTGGAAATTTACTGAACCAGGACAACGGAACAGACTAGATATAGCACGGGTGCAACAATTTAGCAACGTTCTGTGAAGTAAATAGAAACTTTTTACTTTACTGGAATAACTGTGACAAACCATAAGTTTTTTAAGCCTGTAGGATATTTTTAACTTATTTTCAATTTAAAAAATGTAACTGATTTCTAACTCAAAAACGATTAGAGTTATTAAAAATATGAAATATACTATACGTTGCAAGATAAAGTGTCAACATCTCAGAAAATGGAATGCACTGTTTTGTATTTAAATTTAACCTCCATAATATGATAAGTATTGATATAAGCACAGAAAAAATATTATTTTCACTAAATAACAAGTCAAAATATTTTTTAAATTTCACGAAAAGCCATGTTCGGACAAAGACTATTAATGAATAATAATCAAGTCATTTACATATACGTACCCTAATTATTTTTTAAGCACCTTGTGATATCCGATATAAACAATGGAACGATACTTGAACAAAAAAAAATTATTCCATTCCCTTCCAAAAACAAAAATAAAACAATAACACCCGTTATACTTTGGTTAGACTTCGTGACTGAGACAACACCCTCTGTCTCGGAGTAGATCGAGCGGAAGACGGTTTTGATCGACGAGCGGATGGTGCGGAAGCGGGTCGTTTCGCCTTTTCCAGTTTACGTTGTCTATCCGTCGCTATGATCAGCATTTGCTCCTGTACCGTGAAGGCGAAGAAGATGTCATGGAAAGTGTAACATGCAGCGGAAACCTATTCCGGAAAATTACAGAAATTGATAAATTAAAATATCGTTATTCATATAAACGCAAATATTGGTGTTTTTAGTGAAAAAAACTAAAAGTCGGCATTCTGAATGAGATTAGAATGCCGTTTTAAAGGGATTATTTCAATTGCGACTAATAAACTATCAATGTATGCACATTTGACGATTTGAATTCTAAATTTTTTCATTCACAAAAATTTTAGTAAAAAATCTCTAAATTTACATCATTACCTGGTTAATTAACCTTCGGTGGAGCTCAACGTCGGATTCATCGATATTTTCGGCGTTGTGCAATTGCAGGGCACACATTAGGGCATCTTTGATCGTCTCTATCAAAGACTGCACTCTCTCCGTTTTCAATAGTCTCCTGGTCAAATAGCCCTTGACGTGCGCGCCAATAATAGAAGCAGCCCATTCCTAAAAGCGAATTAAAATTTCTTACAACTTTTTACACTCATCTCTAGTTTTTCCCGCTTACCTTTTTGATATCATGAATTGTATTTTCATCCAACTGGGGAAAGAGTTCTCGACTCACATTCATTCCCTTCTTGATCTCTTCATGTACGTAATACTCTGTAATGTCTGTTTTCTTTGGGGAGTAAGATTTTTCACCACAGGTGATTGTATCGTCACATTCGAAATCGATGAGCCGTACGGAAGAGTTACTCAAAGGCCGAAGCGTGTCGGACGATGTCGAGCTGTAGTAAATCGATTGGCTGGGGGATATGGACGTAGTGCTGCCTTGTAGTTTCTCAGTTCCCGAAAACGAAACATTTTGAGCCAAACTGCCGTAATCATTTTTAATGTTCGTGTTACGGTGATCTTTGTTTTTGTTATTAATGTTTCTATTTACAGGATCATCTGCTTTTTTTGACATTTCGACATTGGATTTATTAACATTCTTTTGTGATTCTTCTTTATAATCAGTTAATTTATGTTTTTCTAGTTTTTGCGTTTCGATCAGTTCAATAATTTGCTTAGCATAAATGTCCGGTAAGGTCTTCAATACCTGCAACAACTGCGAGTCGGACGTTTCAAAGTTTTCATTTAATGCATCTTGAACAATTTCGTTATTTGTATCGACAGTAATTTTTTGAACAGATATGTCAGTGTGGATGACTTTAATAGCTGGTGAACTAAGTTCTGGATTTTGCAGTTCTTTTATGTCATTTGGAGTACTGGATTGTACGTCATCTTTATCCGAATCATTAAAACCTGTATTGTATACAGTATTTATACTGCTAAATTCACTGTTTTCAAACGGTATGTAATTATTTTCTAAGGAAGACCAATTTCTAGAAATCGATAAATTTCTCACATCCTCAAGGTGTTTTATCTCAGCATATTTATTGCCTTTTTCAGTTTTCTGTAAATGTGCCAACAATATTGGACTTGGTGTGTCTAATGTATATGAATTACTTCTAATCAGTCTGGGTCTTGGAGATTTTTCCGAAGTGGAAGATATGTTTTTCAGAGAATCATTATCTGAGGAACAAATAGTTGGAGATTTTTCATCACATATATTGTTTTTATTTAATTTCATTGAATTTAAATCATCGTCTTCTGAATTGTTATTGTCTTGATTATTCCTAAGTGAAGATAAAGACCCAATTTGTTGGGATGTGTTGGCGTCAATATTTTTGGTATTACGATTTATATAATGACCTTGGTTCAATGTAGCACAATGTGCATCGTTGCATATTATTTTAATGCCATCACTGTTGTACTGAGTTACATCTATGATATCTTTACTTAACTTTATTTTTCTTAGCGCTTTAGTTTTTAATGGAAAATTCATAGTATTAGTCTTGTCTGTAATCCCTAAAGCTTCAACGTGGTTGTCATCCCGAAATGAAATATCTGAATGTGGTCTATCTGTTAGTGATTGCATATTTAGAAGATCTTCTAAATTCTTTTTTAAGTCCCTACAATTTTTCAAACGTTTTTCAAGTTTTATGGCTTGTAGTTTGTAACCTTGCAGTTCAGCGAGTCTTTTCTGTGTTATCTAAAATAACTTAACTTAGAGACCGCTTAATGTTTAACAGAATTATTGCAAATACCTACCACAGGTGGTAAAAGATGAATCCCTTTTATTTTGATGCAGGAAACGAAAAGAACTTTTGTTTTGCGTTCAGCCATATTTTTATAAACAAAATTTAGAGAAATTCTATTTCAATGTCGTTAATTCCAAGTTAACTTCATCAACACTATCAACAAACACAAATCAAAACAAATTTAACAAGTCGATAAGAAATTTCATATTGACAACCACTGACAACTAGCAACATGACAATTGACAACTGACATTGAATGTCACATGCTTAACGATTTTTTACGACGCAGCGTTTGTTTCCTAGTAGCATTATAAATGCCAATAGTTCATGAAGAACCAAAATGGATGTTTTAATACATGAATATTGTTTAAATTACCATTTTCTTTTCGGATTGTTATACCAATGAGCTTATAAGCTGATACATAAACCAAAGCACAGATCGAAAAAGCCTTAAAGTCACTACAACGCAAATATTAAAAGTTTATACTTTTAAGAATTTAAATATGTTTCTAAAATAATTTAATTATGGGACCAAGTCGAGTAGGAATTTAACTCGTTATAAAACAATTATATTTAACTTTTAAAGCCATGGTTTTAAGGTTTTACCAGGTTAAACAGCCGAATTGGTTTGGCTGAAAAAAATACATAAAATAACAGACTATGGTAATAGTCCTAAAAGGGAATAATTTTAAGTGCATTCTTTCCTTCATCCTCTTGATAATTCCTGAATGAAGAGGTTAAAATAAAATGTCATCACATAAACACGGTTATTTACATTGGGTGGTGAAAAATGGTTTTATATTCATCTTCTTCTTCTAAATATATCACTTGCTGATTGCTGCAGCTGCACTTGTATTATATGTTTTGTGGCTTCACGCACAGGTTATCAGAAGTCAGAACTGTCAATGTCAATGTGTTAATCTACACAACAAAGATCTCGCATAAAATAAAAATATAAACAGAACATGGGGTCTGAACATTCGAGTCAATCTGGGGCTCATAGCCAAAGACAAGGCAGTTTGAATAAAAATGGAGTTAAACAGTCAAACATCAGGCGTCAACATACGATAGCTAACCCAGGAGGAACAGAAAATATTAACAGTGAAAATGGTAGGCCAGGTTCCATTTCGCCCGGACCAAGTGTATGCAGTGATATAGACTTACCGTATATAAGTTACACTGTTAATAGACCTATTGGAGGTAAAGTTATTGATGAAGTTAAAAAAATATATATGTAACATCTAAAACTTACAGATTCTCCAAAACTTACTAACAAGCAGTTGGTGAAAAATAAATCGAACAGCCGTAGGACCCAGCAATCGAAACAAACTAAAAATAAAAACAACTCGGCACATAATATAGTTGTTGTGCGAGGAGCAACATCTAATACTCCAGGCACAGAAAAAGATCCGGATGTTGTGCGCCTGCAGGGCATACCAATGTTTTTACCTATTATGAGAGCGACTTTGAGTTTACCGGCAGCTAGAGACCCTGAAGTACTGGAAAGGTTAGATCCTACCCCTTTACGTAACTTGTGTCTACGATATCAAAGACATTTAACTACCGCTGCTAGTCTAGTAGCTACTGAACAGAATCACCTAACCCAAAAAGTTAGAGAGGTATGTGTGCTATGTTACGTTACAATTGTGTTTATAACAAAGTTTTGATAAAAACGATAGATGTGGTGTTTTCATATTTCCTTTGAAATTCAAACGAGTTGATTTTAAGGTGGATGGTGAAATTAACAAAATATTTACTGCAGCTACGGACAAACAGCGGAAATTTGCAAAGTATGCTGAAAAACTTTCCAAGGTCCAGGAACTGTCCCATCAGTTAAACCGTTGTCACATGTTATTAAATCAAACCTTGGAATCTATGGAAACTTTAAATAATTATTTGGATATTAACGATAGACTGGAACCGTTTGTATGGACAACAGGATGAGACTCGTGTGATGAAGGTAATAGAGAAATTAATGCCGAACGCTATAAAAGGTCAGATATAATAGAAAATGTATAATGCGACTTATGTTTATAAATAATTGTTTTTATACATATTCCGCTTTGATTAGAAGTTTTAAAGAATATATGTTATTAAAGCAAATGAAATTATTATAGTTTTATTTTTAAAATTATTATTGCTATATTTGCAAATCTACAACTAAATTGGGAAGCCATTTGTTTAAATGATGGTTATATTCACAAAACATAAAAAAGATCCATTATTCAATATAAGTGGATAATTTTAAGATACTAAATGTGTGCTTACGTTACCATAGTGTATATAATTTAATACTTTTACGGAGTTATTTATTTTGTTATTAGTTTTGAAGTTATATTTGTAATCTTGAAGGACAGAAATTTTAGAAATGTAAGGTTATTGTATTTTGTATTATTTCTAATCTAACATTTGTGATTTGCTATCAGTTGATAACTGATCAGATCACATTCTGAAAGCACTGTACTATGGTTCTATTGGCCCTTAAGCCTTAAGCTATTATTATAATGTACCAATTAAGACTGCTCCGAAGTTTTAAAGCTTTAGAATTATTATATTTAATTGAATTCTGATCTCAAAAGTGTATTTAGTTACATCTTTATCACTTAAATAAAAAATAAAACATTTGTATGTAAGTTTTTTATATCGTTTAACATTAGGCCTATTCCTTTGCACAGAAAGTGTAGTACTAGCTGCACCGAATAGCCAGTTATCGTTCCTTTGCAAGAGAGTGTTGCATTTTACACCACACTTTCTTATTCCACTGCTCAGTGTTAGTTGCACTAGTGCAGTTTATCTACACCTAGCCTGAGCAAGGAGTGAAATGCACTGGACATGCGCAGTCTGCTCTATTTGAACATTTCACAATTCTTGTATCTTAGAACCAAATAATCAAATAGTGTTTTATTTATCCTAGTGTTTTAAAAACTCTATCAGAATATTTGGGTACAATTTCTTCTACATATATACTGTTTAATTGAATTTCGTTTATCTCTTTTAAATAAAGAACTGATTATAGTTTCTACTTCATCACCACTATCACTCGAACTTGAATGAAGATCTACTAATCTATTGTCTAAAAAGTCATCGTCACAAAAAACACCTGCGACGTCCATAATTAATGCTTAGTTAGGAAAAAAATACAGTTTTCAGATTTAGAATATATCCTAAACTTATATTATTGTACAGCTACACCATCTCACACTTCGTTATTCCTTTGATCCTAACAGAACTTTTGCACCACTCTGATCAGCTGGTTTTCAGTGTAGTGTAATTTACACTACACTGAATCACAAAGGAAAGAACTTTTTATATCGTGTTTATGATCCATAGACTGTAAAAAATATAGATTTGTTCTAGTTTTATATCTATGATTCTTGGATTATAGTTCTATGGTTCTTGTTGGTGTTGGTACCTTTACAATGTTCAATGTTGTATGTTGGCCACCTTGTTAATATGTATTTGTCGCTGTCGTTTGTCGATCTGTCAAATTGTTTCTGGAAAAAATTGTGTTGTAGATTTTTGCAATCGATTTGATTGAAAGTTTATCCGATATATTTAATTTTACATAAAAACCATGTCTGAAAAACCAAAACTTGATTTGGGAGTACTTGAAGAAGACGACGAGTTTGAGGAATTTCCCGTTGAAGGTAATACATTTTGAGGTTATCTTGAATGAATTGCATTAAATTTATGGAAATCACTTTTAGACTGGACAGGTAAAGAAAAAGACGAACAGGACATCAGTGTTTGGGAAGATAATTGGGAGGATGATAATATAGAAGATGACTTTAATAAGCAATTAAGGTAATATTGTCATTTTTTAAATCTTTCTGGGCAATTTACCTTAACTAAGAAACGAATAGAACATTTATAAACTTACTTAAATACTTAATGTTTTCTTTTTTTTTCAGGGCACAGTTAGAGAAGCAGAAGGCTAAACCTACTAGCAAGTAGTAGTCCAAGTGTAGAATAGTTAGTTTAAATTATCATTTTATATTTCAAAATATTTTGAATAAAACCACAAAATATTACTTAAGTTTTTTTAATTCTGTCTTAATACAAAACGATAATTTTTAATTTTTTTCACATATAATCTGCATCGAATCTTTCTGATTCCGTTCTTGCCCCAACTGCACAAGAAAGCAATGCCTGTATGCTCCTTTCTTCACCACTACCGTAAATATAACCATTGGCCTGACAATAAATAAAATTAACATAATTTACAGAGTAAATCACATCCATTACCTTGTCTATAGCACTCTTCAACTGCAGTAAACTTTTTTCCGACTTAACATCAACTGGAATAAACGCAACTAAACTATAATCCTGTATCAGACCTACTATAGCCGCATTCAACTTCTTAAACTTACTGGTAAACGGGCCATCATCCAAGAGGTCTAATAGATAGTCTAAATCAAGAACGTCTGTGTAAAAATCTATGACAAAATCCAATTTTGAAGCATTCTTTTTCAATAAATCGGCCTAAAAAATTTACATTTTATATTTTAGCAGTGAGAAGCGCATTTTTTGAGAGCATACTACTGAATTAAAACATTGTACCTTACTAAGAACGTTGACATGTGGTAAAGCAATCTGCATCATCGTAGACAGAGAAAGGAGGAGCGTTGATATAAATTTAGGAGGATCTGAACAATAATGTGAATCAACCATGTGAACCGCACACAAATGATAACTAAGTTTTTCAAGTTTCTCAAAAACATTTTTTATGGAGTTGTGATGTGTATACAACTCGACTTGTCCCGGCATATCGAAAATTAAGTAACTGTCTTTAATTTGAACCAACTGGTTCAGTAACCAGTCGAAGTTCTCTTCTAAATACTCCATACAATACATTAGCGCACCATTAGGACCCAAGTTTAAGTCTCTCATTACGTCTTCGACCGTTATTAATTGCATTATGTCGATCTTAGGCTTGTAATTCATATTTTCGTTTGCTGGATCGAGATTGACAACTTCTACCTTACGATTAAGCTTATCTTTATAGAAATCATATACCTTTCCACAGTAAGTGGTTTTGCCGGATCCCGGAGGTCCTATAACAACTTGCCCAAAGTAGCTTTCTGCTTTTTTCACTCGCTTTACTAAGGCCATGTTTGTTATTTATGCTCTATGTCTCTCTATGGTGTCTATAACAGCATTTAGGGTATTTCTACTGAAGTCTTTTAAGCTTAAGCACAACAACAGGGTCCTACGAATTTTCAGTTTTTCTGCCAAGTATCGGACAGCAACTTCTGCTTCTAAATTTTCTCCTCCTAATATCGTTGAGATAGAGTACACCGGTTCAGTAATACTAAATCCGTTTTCAGGTTGATCGATTTTTACCTGATAAAGGTTTCCAATTTTTCCGTACTGTGTAATTATTATATTAGTATAACTGGGGAAATTAGTAATCACGAATTCCGTATGATTTCCACCTATTTTAGCTGCAAAACAATCTAGAATTGGTGGTATATTAGCTACAGATAATGAAGTAAACGACGATGTTATATCCATTGCACATTTTCAGCTAAAAGTTATTTGATATTAGAGTTTGTTTACTACCTTAGTGACAAAACAAAAACAATTTTTTTTATTTTAAGGTTAGGCGACTTGATCTCTTGATCATAGATCATGTAACTGTAGAACATAGAACACAAAGGCAGAAATTGGCAAAATTCGATTTTTGTCACCGTCCAGACACTATTTTTTTGCACAGGGAAAGCAATTTTAAGAAATTTGCGTTGTGAATCAGTGAGTCCCGTTGTATTGTATGATTGTTTCGGAGTTAGATATTTACAAATGCATAGAATTTTATTTCAAGGTATTCTACAACACCCTAATAGATAATTTTATCCAAGCAGAAATAGCAGAATCATTTTCCCAAAGTCGTCTTAAATTTTTAATTAACTCAGCATTATCCACATTCTTGTGTCTACGCATATAAGCGGTTACGACCACTGCACCTTCCTCAATACATGCGCGTATCTTCCTACGTCCATCCGTCAAATCCACCCCTTCCTCGGAAGCGTTGCACCGACTGGCACCCCCCCGATCGATCGGACGCCGCCGATGACGTAACAGCGTCGCAGTGGGGGCATCCTGTGACGTCACCCTGCCACTAACTGCCGGATAAAATCGGACGCCAAGATACGACACATTTCAAATCAGTTTATGCCGGCGCGGAATCGAATAAAGACAATTCGTTGTATATGTGTTGGGATAACAGAATCTTTGATCATGTTCTTCGGAGGTGCCGCGATTAGCTCCTGCGCCATCCTCGCCTTTTTTTCGGTATTATGTGAGTATCAGCACAACATTCTATGGGTTAATTGCTTTTCCAGCGACTGCTGAGGGGGTTGCGCTGGCCCGCAATTATATTTCGCGCGAGCAATTTGGAAAAAAGCAGTTTTTATGTGTTACATAATCCGGTATGAATATGTGATGGGTACGGTGCCTTGGAAAATCGATTTAACCTAAAACGGGAATCAGGTTAAGGAAACTGTTTCGGTCTAATACCGAAACAATCGATACTGGTGATATTTCCTTGGTTTGCGGTTCTAAATACCTGCATGATTTGCGGGCAAAAGCTTAGGAGCAGGTGCTAAGTGAATTACTGAATTGGGAAATAATCTTGATCTGTCAAACGCTACAAAAGGCAAGAGGCACATGAAATTTTGCGAAACTTACTGGGCCAACTGAAAGTAACGCTATTAACAGAATTAGATAAATAAAAAACGCCAAAAATATTTCTCAGAGAACAATAAATAGGAATAAGTGGCGCCACATTTAGTTTTTGATGTGTTGAGCTAAGACTTTTTTCAAGTAAACTTGTTCTAAGATTTAACAGCATTACAAATACGTAAACAATTTGTTTTCATTTATATACAGGGTGTCCCATCGGGAACTGCGTCGATCGATATCTAGGAAAGTACTGCTCCGAAAAATAATATCTAGAACTCTCCAGCACTTCCGGTTTTATCGGAAGTTGACACCAACTTCGTTATTTTAAATATGGGACACCCTATATATATTATTGCATTTTCTCATTCTATGTGAAATTTGAGGGTCACTTTATTAAATATTCCCTATACCTAGGAGTTATAGATTTTGATATATTAATTTTTAACGAAAAAATTTGACAGATGCAAGGGTCCGAGGAGATGCTAGTAACTTTTTTCAGGAGCATGATATCAAGCGGATTTTTGGTACCTGTAAAGGGCATAGGTAACGCTAAATTATGGTGTGCCAAAAAATTAAAACATTTAATACTAGGTGTTTCATTTCCGCTGTTACATTTTGATAACTTTCAAACAGCTACAACTTTGTTAACTTAAGTAGAACACCCTATATTTTTTTACTCTGTCGTATGCAGATTGAAATTTCCTTTCAAGCCATATAAGCATTGTTAAGGTTGCCGTTAGTACTTTCAGAGATATTTGCAATTTTCTATTTTTTGGGCAGTTTTCTCGTATCACATCTGTTGTCAAATTGGCCATGACCAGAAACACCCCAAAAACAATTGAAATAACATGTCATTTGTCAACTTAATTGTCAAATTATTGTTGTGTCTGTTGTAGTTTTTGCCGAAAATTTAAATAAAAATGAATGGAGAGCAGTATTATCCTAGATATCGATCGACACAGTTCTAGATGGGACACCATGTATTTAGCAGATTTATTTAGAGGCTGGCGATTGGTCGATTTTGAGTGTATATTATCTACTAATGAGGTGTTTTCCAACTTTTTAACCGCGTCAGAAAATGAAAATAGATTTAAAAAATACAGAACCCATATTTTTCGTTTTGGAAAAAAATCCTACAAAAAATAAAATTCCCAACTGTGTGTGTCGTCCTTTAGTCAAATTTATACAGGGTGTAACGAATGCTGATGGCCAAACTTCAGGGGGTTATTATACAAGTAATTTTCAACAAAAAAGTATTATAAGATTTTTTTGGAAAGTTGATAGTTGCTCTTTTATTTAACATTTTTTGATATCAAAAAATTTTGTGCCTTTTTTCATAAAAACAAAAATATATCTGTTACTCTTACAGCCACATCAAATTTAGGCATATCATCGGAAAGAGCGTTAAATTTACTACAAGACGAGCACATATGAGTGTTTAAAAAATTTTCTATACCAGGTGCTGTAAAAAGTTAAATGTAATAATTGTGAAATGAGCAGAATTAGTGGTATCTCCTTATTGGTGGTAACGCCAAAAATTTGGTAATGAGGACGTGTTTTTTCATCAGCAAAAACTACTGTATTTAGTAAGCTTTTCAACGATATATCAACTTTTGAGTTTGCTATTTTTTTGGCAACAATATCAAGGGCAAAGGTAATAAAACCGCCCCTCCAATAATCAATACAGATTCAAAGTTAACGTATGGATGGCTATAATTGGAAATTACGTTCCACACTGTAAATCACAATATCATATTTGAATTTTATTAAAAATAGTTATCTTTGTTAGAGAAACGAAGTAAATAAATATAATTCTTAGAATAATATAGCATGACAGATTACTGTTTGAAATTAGCAAGCAGCCAGAAACGAAGTACCTACAAAATATAATTAAAGTAAACGAGGCAACAAAGCTCTCGAACGCATGAAATCCTTAATTTAATTAACGGGAGCCTCATTTGTAATGAATAATTGGCACTAACTAGTATTGATTAAGCCCTAGTCTCGATGAAATGCTAACAATTCCTTCTCCACCCTCCCGCCTTGTTAACCAAACCGAAAACTAATTCATTTGTGTCGTTTTCAAAACTGACGGACTGTTAAATAAAACAGCAGACAAATGGATCGTTAGCGTCATAACTTTTATAAATCGGAAAATGTAATAGATTTGGATCGTTGGGGTGTGTCAGATCGAGGCGGCCTTGCGATTTCTAAACCGCAAGTTTATATTATTTTCCAATCAGGAAATTAATTTTCCGATTTTCGTGACAGTAGGGAGCGGTTTTGAAATCGTCGTATGTGTTGTAGATGTGTTTATTTCTTTGTCTTATCAACATAATTATTGCGGTCAATATCCGGAGGTTAGACGAAATCATGTTTATCCTTATACTTATAATTAATTAATAAGTCGATTAGCTATTCAGAAATTCTTATTATTTATGGACCAGCAACCAAAATATTTGTTGTGAATCAATTTGAAAGTTAGTTATTGCATGCATAACAGAATAAAATAAAGTGTTTTATTGTTTTAAAAATATTTTTATATTTAATTGCTAATACAAGCCACACACAAAAAAAAGTTGTCTGTTCTTTTCATGCGATATATGTTAATCGTAGTATTTTTGCTTCCTGATCACGAATCCGGTACAGAATTGAGCATCACATGAATTTCCTAACCTCAAAAAACAGGTCAAAAATAGCACGGATCCGAAGTCAACTTTGCAAAATTCAAGATGGAGGATCTAAGATGGCCGACCAAATTTTCAAAAAATAAGACATTCGCGCCAATTTTAGTATACGGGGTTTTCGGGGTCGCTGATCACGAATCCGGAATCAGATTTACAAAATTTGTTTTTAAAAATTTAATCATCTTTACCTATGTACTTTATTACCTGGGATTAGGCAGAAAACTAGTGACTAGATCTTTTACAGAAAAAAGAACAAGATACAGCCAAATAAAAGGAAGGTTAAAACATGATTGGGTACTCATTTTCGCAATTCCGAATTCGTATTCTTCGAATACGTATTCAGCGACCCCAAAAACCCCTGTATACTAAATTTGTCGCGAAACTGTTATTTTTTGAAAATTTGGTCGGCCATCTTGAATCCGCCATCTTGAATTTGGCAAAACTGAGCTCAGATCCGTGATCAGCGACCCTGAAAACCCCCGTCTATGAAATTTGGCGCGAATCTGTTATTTTTTGAAAATTCGTGATATCTGACCTTAATTGAGCCGTTTTTTTGAGGTTATAAAAAGAATCATCAATTCTGACCATGGATTCACGTTCAACGGGGTCTTTACCATATAAATGAACATTTGAATATAGAAAAAAATGTTTTTGTATTTTTACTAGCACTTTTTCGTGAGATTGTGGAAGATCCTCGGGATCGTCCAGACTAATAATTAGTTAATTTGTTTATAAGGCCATAACTTGTAAACTATTCAACTTACCGATTCCAGATTTCGTGTGAGTTATTAGACAGTGATAAGGAATGAAAGGATGCGATGCCAAAACGTTCTGGTAATAATAACGTAGTTTATAATTGTTGAATTCAAAAGTCATAAATAAACTTCTTCTGTTTATATATAACTTTTGATCTAATTAATATTTTTTGACGCTCGAGAGCTAGTTTTGTAGATCTTTTGAAAACGAAAAAAAGTACTTTATTTTTTTACTTTATAAGTATTTTATTTTCACGTGGATATGACGGAAAAAAGTTATAAGCGAAAAACGTGAATTTACGTAAAAATTATTAGCCTGTAAACAATCTTCCCCCCATTTTTATGACTTTGGAAACTATGTTATTGTACATAATCATAATATTTAGCATTTATAGTGATAAATTCAGCTTGCTGAAACAAAAAGTCGCGTCCAATTCTATATTTCCTGGCCTATAATGAAAATAGGATTAGTATAAAACATTCTAAGCTTATTTCTTTAGGATCAAGAGAACCACCTGGTGATTTTACCCGTTTACATATATTGTAACTAAAGTACCTAAATACAATTTCCTAACATCGCGTGCTATTTGAATCTTTTGTGTAAAAATAAATTTATAGCAGTCCTACATAACGAAGGTCTTCTGTTATTGACGAATCAGGACACCAAGGACGAACGAACTACAACTACTGAACACACAGAGACAACAACGCCCATTCGTGTTGCCTTTTTGAATTCATAACGACTTGACCTGCATAAATTTTTCACACAGCATGTTTTGAAAAGTTGAGCGGAAACATTTTTAGGGATCACCAACTGTAAATTTAGAAAAAAACAATTTCATTTCAGCCAGGTGTTAAATACGTCAGAACTTGTTTACGCAATTCCGTACCCCGGAAGATATCTCCGAAGAAAATTATAATCGCCCATACGCCAAAACCCACGCGGAACAGTTAACATAAAATAAAAGTTTGATTAATTGGAATTCCCAAGTTCCTGAAAATATAAGTTTTCCTCAAAACGAAGCTTTTAGGGGCGTCCGATATTTTTTTGCTGCAAAAATTACAGATAGTCCTTTATATTTAATATTACTTGCTTTCTTTTCGTTCCGAACAAGTCATCGACCCGTGTTCTCTGTGAAGTTTCATGCATGACTGACTCCAGTTTCAGGCTAGCTTTGAATTGACAAATGAGCAATTTTGTTGTGGAAAATTTCATGATTCGTACTTCAACAATTTTTATCGGTTAACTTTACTTTGAACATCAGCTCTAAAAAATTATTATACTTAATTCTCAACAAATATTCTAAACTGTATGTTTTTTTTTTATTTAACCCGTTTTTTCCCGTTTTAGGTACAGCACAAATCCACAACCAAAATTTATTATACGACAGAGGGATGGAAGTAAACGCAGAGAGGCAGAACCGGACCGAGAACAATAAGTCTATGCCCCTTCAGTGCTACGTTTGCAATTCTGCGTTCGACCCGAGGTGCGCGGACCCATTCGATCCCTACACCATAGGAATTATCAATTGCTCGGATAGACCGACACCGGAACACGTGAAAGATCACTTACACTTAGACCGAATAGTGGTACCAGTGGTCTGCCGAAAGATGGTGCAGAAAGGTTGGTGTTATTTCGTCACTTTCTCACGATTTTGGATGCCTCTATAGTAAATGCACAGATATTATTGCAGGAGACAACTACTCTGCGAACTAGTGCTCCGACTAGCCGCAGAATCACCGGATATATGTATATTGGATGTAATAAATTGCTGCATGATTCGTCAGTTGGCACACTTGTGGCATACTGATTATATTTTTTATCGTTCATTTGTGGTCGACTTAAGCAAGACATACACACTTATAATATCGATCCCTTAATATTCCCGTGTTGTTTTCGTGACATTTTTTTTGTACGCAATTCCCGCGAGAGGATGAAATATTTATTTTAGTACACAACACGGAGGACTCGTTATTATCGTTTTTAAAGGTCAATACTACGGAGTTAGGGAGGTGTTTTCGTATATTCGAAGGGTATAATATCTAAAACTGTGTATAATTTAACAACATGACTAAAATGTGCCAAGAACTATACTACATATAAGTACATAAATTTACATGTTTCCATCAAATAGATTCCCTTAATTTTGAGTTGAACTTTGATGCATCTTAAATGGTAGTAAAGCCAAAAGTTATGTCTATTTTGTTTTTCGAGAACTTCTTAGTTTTTAAGATACATATTTTTTTACCAACCCAAAATTCTACACGTGGCTGAAAACCATCAGCAGTTAAAGCTTGCACACGTTGAACATCATAAGGGTGCAGTAACTGACTCCGCAACACACGCCACATCCATTTCACATGCAATGTCGCGGGTACTGAGGCTCAGGTTTCCCTCGACAAGGTGTAAAATCTTTAATATTTAAGACACGTTGTTGTCTTCGTCCACGGTCTGCACACGTTATATACATGTCAAATAAATAAAAAAAGCCCGTTCAAGTGACGTATGCACTTGTTTGTACGAAACCGTAAATGTTTTCTTAAGTTTTAATTTTTCTCGCTATGCTCTTTTTCAGTTGAGGGGGTCGTCCGCGTGGTCCGTAGCTGCGGCTACATCAGGGACGACCACGACGACAAGAAGTGCTTCAGAAGGACAGGCACCGCGGCAGTAGAAGTGATTCACTGCTCGTGCACCAAGTCCCTGTGCAACGCCGGCCACTCATCTCAACGTCCATATTTTAGCGCAATTTCTTTGAACGTAGCAATTACACTAGCAATAACAAATCTCCTGGGCGGACAGACATCTTAATTTTCAAGGGTTGTGTAGGGGGGACGTTTTATTTAGTTTTAAGGGTCGATTGAAGCTGAGGTGATCACAGGCCAGCCATTTTCATAAGTTTTTATAAAAAATAGATAATTTGAAATAAAAATTTTGTGCTGACAAGAAAAAGAGCCCTAATATCCAAGATCAATAACATTTGTAAACATTTGATACAACAGAAAACATCATTTGAACTTACGATGACAGGATGACATTTTTTGGAGTTGCAAATGCAAATAAAAAATTTTTCTGAAATTTATGAAAATGGTTAACCTGTAAGGAGTTATCAAAATTGATTTGACCTTAATATATGAGTTTTCCAGCTGTCTAAAATTGGAAACAATATTTATATTTGCAAAATAAGTTGATTATTAGACTTTAAGGAAAGAAAATAATATCGTTAAGTAAATGTAAGTATATTTGAGATCAAAAATATAACTTCAACTGTCCGTTTGAACGTTTTTAACCAATCAAAAAATTTCAGAATAACAAATGCCGTTTCTGTGATGAATTTTATACTCGCGTTAATTATAATTATTATCAACTAAGAACTACTTTGTACTGTTTTTTTTTTTTTAGTATAACTCAATTGACAATTTTAATGAACAACTTTTTAATGATTGGACAAAAATTCTTACTCCCCTTTCCCCATTGATAGTTTAAGGTCAAAGGTAATTAGGGCATTATCGATAGGATTTGTTATTGATATTACTAGAAGTAAAGTTTGTAATTTTTTTTACTTAGACCCTAGACCTATAGCAATAGTTCCATTCCTGTTTTTAAGAAAACCGGGAACTAAATGCTTGTTGTAGTTATCTCCGAATTTTTCGGACGAGTACGCTGAGCTCCTCAAAGGCACTTAGACGAAATGGAATTGCAGAACTGCTTTATTTACTACTTTGAGCATATAGTTGTCTTTTGAATGTACCTAATAGTACATATTGTTACGTGTGTAACGATGATTCAATCGAGACTGCCACCACAATCGGATATACGCCGGTATATCGCACATTCCATTTTATTATATTAACCGTACGATACGGCGTCCTCCCGATGTAAGTGTATCGAAAAACCATCGTAAATACGCGAATATGAGAGAGAACAGGATCGAAATTCCTTTTAAAGATGGCAGGAATACAATTACATCACGTAATATTGTCAATGCACTAAAATTAAGCCAAGAAGAAAAAAAATTGTGAAATAATTTCAAATACGTATTCATAATTTCCCTTTTATCTTGACTTTTCGAACAATTTCATTTTCCATGCCACTAGAAAAAATGAAATTAATATTTGATTTAACATTTTTTTGTTCTTGTTTTCAAAAATAATTCTGAATATTGCTTTATTTATAAAAATACACCCTGTATTTTTATAAATAAAAAAATATCGATAAAATCGATCTTATTAATAAAGTTAAACGATGGAATCTTGAACAAAAGCGGAATTCGCTATGGAAAATTTTCTGCCGTCCTGAAATAATTGGAACATATCCAAATAGTTTTCTGTATAATAAAATGGAAAGTCAATTTCGTACTGCAGATCATTTATATCAGTTATTTTATTTGTTGAAGACGCGTGTTCTAATCTAAATAATAAAAATAGTACAATGTTTAAAAAGTGTGTTAAATTTTCTGCTGTACAAATTAATTATATTAGGAACAAGTTGTTAAAGTAGGATTCGCCAGGAAGGGTCAGCATGATAATAATATATCGTCCCCACTTCCAAGGGGTATAAAAAAGCGAGAAAAGTACCATTACGTAAATTTTTTGGTACAAGTTTCGGTGATGGATGTGAAGAGAACCAGTCTTGGCCAATCTGTCAATAATTCCTAATTCTAATGTATCTAAAAACTACGAGGACGAGGTGCGTGAAAAAATGCGTGAACACTGCCGATTTTGGCCTGAAGTGCCACAAAAATAGTCATTGCTTCTTTGCATATTGATCCATTTTACCTGTAAATTGGGCTAAAAGTTTAAAGAGTCTTATGATAAGTCCTACGTTAAAATAGAATTTATTAAGTGCACTCTACCGTACCATTACTGTAAAGTGTATTGAAAATTGACTCGAAACTCGTTAGTAAGTATAAGAAAATTCAAAACTGAGGCGAACATATTTTCAGTACACTTCTTTGCCTTGCCTTCAACAAATCTATTTATATGATAACTGGTGTACCCCAGAGATTCTGGGAGATGTTAAAAAATATTCTAAAGATTCTAAAGTTAACTGTCGTGAGCTGAAATCTACAAATATTTGTTTACAAGAAAAGTAAAGCATACTGTTTTGTATTAAATATTAATAGTGATGTTTTTGTCTATGTTCTCAAATTATTTGTCTTATTTCTTCGGTTTGAACTGTTTCTATTAAAAAAAAAAACGAAAATAATGACAGTTAATGTATTAAGTTTAATTTAAGCCCTGTTTAAAAAAAAAAAAATATTATTTTTACGGATGCAGGAAAGGCAAATTTTACTTTGTAAATGGTATATGAAGATCTCAGTTCATCAGTATTTTTCCTAATTTATGAAGTATACGTTTTCTCTGATGAAATTTTTATATTTGTTATCGGTGTAGATTATTGTGAATACAGATGCAAATAATAAACATATTTTACAAAATATTTATATACCTGTGTTCTGTAAGAATAAAAAAATATTTTAAAATGTACATAAATATGGAAACTACTCTATTTTCGTCATATTTTCAACGTATAATTTACGTTTAAGTTATGCATCATAGCTCTGCACCGCTGCAGTTTTTTTGTCATTGTACATGTTCTCTATGTTTCTTAGTATTTAAATTAAAAATTGTTTCACACATTAATGGTTTTTATTACCCCCGTCATAGAGAAACTGTTACCTATACTCCTCGCGTATTATTTTAGCTATTTGTCTGCTATTAATTTATAGTTAATTTATTTATTAAGTTTTTCTTATTATTCAGTAAGTATTTACGTATTTTTATTGCCTGCGCAGTCACCTATATTAATTTTCAAACGCCCCATTTTCATTAACAAAACGCCACTGAAATTTTGATATGGCATTGATTGACTACTACTTTATTTAACAATTAGTTATTAATAAATTGATTAATGAATTCATGTTTATCCGCAAGAACAAGGAACCCAAATTCGTAAATTAGTTATTGTTTTAAATTAATAATTCCACGGAAAAATGATATTTATTTCGATCATCTGGCGGAAAGTAGTGGAAGTACGGCGCTCATCCAGCATGCTTTGACTCGCCCATCCTGGCCAATACCAGTGTACGTGTACAGATGGCGCTGGGGATACAGCGGCCTGCGTCGTTACAACAGAAAAGTTTAGAGCAATTTGATTTGAGAATGTGTGACGTAGCGCGTTGAGGTGATACAAATGTGAAGAATTAACAGTGTTTTATGTCGAATGTCGTTCAGTTTTTATAATAATATGCTATTTAAGGAGTAGGTGATACATAGTTACATATTTTGTGATCATTTGATGTGCAGTGCATTTAAAATTAGAGTATTAGTTGAAGTGGTTTATAATTTGATGTTTGATTGTTTTTATGTGTATTGTGTAAGCCGGTTAAAATAACTAAAAAAAGTATACATATTGTGTTGTGTTGCAAAGACTGCCCAAAAGTGCATATCCATACTGTCTTTATGGATTATTAGAGGTAAGAATACACTGCTTTCATGAACTTTATATGAATTATTTGTTATTTGGAAAACAAATTGATGATTTAGAACAGATTCCTAAAATACTGTCATTTTACTAGTGGTTATTATACAGGGTATCCCGAAATTTATGCACCAAAATTTCTAAATTCAATGGCTTTCTAGCTGACTAATAATTTTTAGAAAAATCAAATTTGCTACCAAATTTTTCTGGTTCCAAAGACAAGGGGGCCCACGAAAAAGTGTCTTAAGGGGGTTTCTCGCCAAAAAGCGTAGCACTGTGATTCCACATGTTATAATACCTCTGTGTACTAAATTTAGTGATTCTCGTACATGGTTTTGAGATATAAAAAAGACTTCTTATTGGCAGATTTCAGGGGGCTGTAACTCCGAAAGAGGGGGCCAGTTGGCAAAAAGAAAAAATACGGGTCACCTAAATTTGTCTTAAGAATCTATGACCAAATTTTGTTGCATGAATTTCAGGATACTCTGTATTTCTGTAAGAAGTTGTACAAATGAGAGACTGCATATTTTAGATATTTTAAACCTTGTTCTAGCCAGTCTTTTAAGATGGTATTGTTATCATAAACTGTTTTTAGTATTAATTTAGACACACAAAGCATTATAGGTACCAACAAAATAATTTTTTACTTCAGCTGTATGCACTGAAACTTTTTAAAAGATTCGTATAAAATTTATTACGCCTTTCATATCATAAACTATGTAGGTTGCAGCTTTATGGAATTCGCTACATTTTTGTTATCATAATGTTTGAAATGAAAATCAATGCATGGCTTGGCCTGAAAGACAAAGCAAAAATAAATTGCACTGAAGCTGGGTGTTATTCTAGATAACTTACAATGCCAACGTTGTAAATTTTTTGTTGCTGTTTTTTGACAGGTGCATAGCAGTCACGTGTAGGCTATAGTCCAAGCATTATAGAGAAATGATTACAGACATTATTACCTGGACAAAAAAAATATCACCGTATAGAAAATTACATTTTAAATTAAGTTTCTTGTTCTTTAAACTCGATCCAATATGGCGAACATGGTTAAAAAAAATCGCAAAGTTGAAAAAAACGGTTTTTTTAAAATAACTAAAAAAATATAGCACGGATTGAATAATTTTAAATGGGAAAGTTGTAGGTTTTAAAAAGATCTATCGACTGATTTTTTGAAAGTATCGATTGCTTTGTTACTTTTCGAGATATATCGAAAAAACCTTCTTCTATAACTCGTTTACATTTACGTGCCCATATTTGCTATTTACTGCAAGCCTAGACCGCGGCAAGCCAAAAAAGTACGTTTTTGAAAAATTTAAAAATATTAATTATTTTTCGATATATCGATTTTTTTGAAAAAATTGGCTAGATCTTCTCAGCGGATAGCCCTACAGTAACGATTTGCGGTTTATTTTCTTCGTAAAGAGTTATATTATCATGCTGTTAAAAAATGTTGACGATTTTATTAATTTTAAGGATCAAAAAATCGCTTTGAAAAAGTTGCACTTTTTTGGGTATGTAACTATTTCAATTTTTATTTTATGATAATGACTTTTAAAGAATACTAAACATTTACGGGTCTATTTTGCTTCTAAGGCGAAAATGCTATAATATTCTTGTTTTGCTACCCTAGATTAAGTAAAAAAATAATAAAAATTGAAATAGTTATTAGAAAAAAAACATGCCCAAAAAAAGTGCAACTTTTTCAGCGATTTTTTTAACCATGTTCGCCATATTGGATCGAGTTTAAAGAACAAGAAACTCAATTTAAAATTTAATTTTCTATAGGGTCATATTTTTTTTGTCCAGGTAATAATTTCTGCAAATTTAACATTAATCCGTGACAGAATGCTTGGACTAATTTACATAAACGTAAATGTGTACATTTCTAGAGAAAATAGTTGAAATGACAAAATTTGTTTTGGTGTAACAAAATGTCTTTAACATAAATAATTATTTCGATAATAAATTATCGACAAAGAAACAAAATGTGTTGAATAATTGTTCGTAATTTTTCTGCACAACTAGGTATATTTATTTCGCGTTTTCCCTTTTTTGCCAATAGAA